TTACCAAGGACTCGTTGAAACCTTCACGACCTACAGACAGCTCCTTGACAGACCTGAGCAGAACCTTCTGGTCGAACGTGATGGCACATTAAGCCCTACAGACGAGTCAATCCAGAGAGAAGAAGCTCAAGAGTAAAAATCTGACATTTATACTTTACATGACATTTTTTTCATGAGTGTTCACGTTAAGATCAATGATGAAAACATGACTTCATGGGAAGATATCATTGATGACATAGAGAATGACCTTGATGAAAACATGATGGGAGCTCAAACGTCAGTTAAGGTCAAACTTGGTGAAGTTCAAGAAAAGATCTCCGAGATCAATGCAAAAATATCTGCTCTTACAGAGGTTGACGTTTATTACAGAAGCTTGGAGAGAACTTTAAGCAAACTTGAACGTCAGAACCAAAGTCTCATAGTTGTGCTCCAGAAACTCAGTCTCATGCGTAAAGCATATAATGACTACCTACATGTAAGAGACTTACCTTCTTATTCTACTCCAGATCTCGACTTTTCCGATATAAGTCCAATCCTTATTGATACAACACTTACGATAGCAGGGATGCTTCCTACATATCCAGAATATGATAACTTACCTCAGCTCTTCGAGTATCTCAAGAAAAAGTTCATGATCTTATTATGCGAGACCATGAAAAGACGTCAAAATACCAGAACAGAACGAGAACAGAGCTTACTAATAGACTTATTATATAATACTAAAGAAATAAAGGAGTTTTTATTCTAACTTTGGTATTTTTGGGAAGAACTGATCTGGATCATATTTGTCAACCACAGGTTTTGGTATCAAAAGTCTCTCTGGTTCTTGGACGGCTGGTACTGGAAATGGTTCCTTTGGTTTCCTAGCTTTTGGGAGATCTAAAAATTTTCTTGGTCTCTTTCTTTTGTGTAAGTGTTGTCCATTTTTATCGACAACGAATGTGAGCTTTCCGTCGTCAAAGATGAATGTCGTCGCTTCTTCAGTTCCCTCATCAACTATTATCTTCTTGATCTTTCTCTTCTCCATTAACAGAAAAAGTGACATATATTACTTCATTATTTTTCTGAGTGTTAGGATTAATTAAACCTCTATCTATAACATGCTTTCTCATAGGAAATTTCTCTCCATATCTTTTTGTCAATATCTCTATAAGTTCTTCTGTATAAGATTTATCACTACTGAAGTAAATAGATGGATAATTAAGGACATCAAAGGTTTCTACATTATCTTTAAGAGTCCATTCATCTCCATACTGTATAGAATAAGTATGGAAGTATGGAGGATCACATATAAAGAAAACATTGGGAAGATCTTTATACTCATTGAAGAGTATTCTCCAATCTTTATGAACAATAGTTAAACCTTCAAGATAGTCATCTATGTTTTCACCAAATAAGTTAGTATATCTGAGGTATAACACTTTCTTCATTAATGTGTCAAGATCATAGTATTTGTATGCTCCAGAATAGAGAAGACGTGAACATAATGTATCCCAGTCTATGTATGGAGCTTTACTTATAACTTCTCTGACGATCTCTTTCTGATCAGTAGGAATTTTCTCATCTGGCTTAACATTTATTCTCTCCTTAAGTTCCTTAAGTATTTCATTCGTGTCATGAATGTGTTTCAGTCTATCAACGTAGTTATCATAGTCGTTAGCTATGATCGTTGCTTTTGGGAACATAATATGCAACAGATGAGAGATATAGAGAGAACCACCAAATAGGTCAACGAAGACATAATCCCCTTTGATGTCTTTGAGTATGTCGATAAGATCTTTCCTGATCTTCGACTTATTACCTATGAAAGGTAAAGGAGGTTTGGTAAAAATCATTTATATGGTAATAAAAATAAGTGTTTACTTGAGACAATAACCTCTGTTGAGTTTGTAGAACAAGATCAGAAGTACGATCAAGTTCAAAACAACACAAATGGCTAGGATTGCGTTACCAACAATCTTTGTCTTTTCCCAGCAAGACTTCTTCTTTGGTTCATGTGCTGCTTCGACATCACTGTATGGCTCGGACATTAACTTAAAAAGTGTCATGACCACTTCATTTTTGATGAAGTCAACAGCTTATGTCCACTTCCTCCCACAAGCACTTGAGGGACAAGAGAAGGTCATCATTGACTACCTTCAAGCCACTGAGAAGCTCCAAAAGCTTCAAGATCTCCGCGAAGAGTTCAAGTCCCGCTTGAAACAGGAGAACTTACTGCAGGAGTACATGCTCATCCTTTATACACTCATTGATGGCTCCCATTTACCATCAGAGTACACTGCAGTTCTTGATGCACTCAAAGATCTTCGCGAACACCAGCCGATCGGTAAAGAAGCCTTCGAGCTCACCATTGAGCAAGCCATCTTCGCCAAGCACAATGCAAAGAAGCAGATGCTCGAAGCTCTTGACAAGATCAAAAAGTACGTCGAAAAGTACTAAAAATAATTACTTGAGTAAACGATAAGTTTTATTCATTGTTTCTCTTTTCAAGATATTCTTTCATCTTGACGTTATATTTTCCTAACTCATACAAGAACGTGTAGTATGAAACTTCAACCTCACGATGCTTTTCATACCATTTCATTATGAACATGGTAAGAATTGCTTCTTCGGGATTTGAGAAGGGATCTTCTTCACCAAATACGTTGTGATGAACTCTCATTGCTTTACCTACAGATATTGGTTCATCTTCCTCAGCAATTAGGTCAAAGAACCTTTGTAGTCTTTGGCTCATTGGAAATGTCACTTTTCGGTTAAACGATCACATACTTAAGACATAAATTATACCTACTTATTAACTCAGTATATTGTGCATTATATGCATACTTAAACTCTTGAGCAATATTGTTCTCATCAATGATTCTGATCTGAGCTATTTTTGAGAAAGGTGGTGGAATACCACAACATGTGATGTCTGGGTCCAGTAGGTCTATTTCACACTTGAACCCAGTCATTCTGTGAACAACTTCTTCCAAGTCTGGCTTAGGTAGTAAGATCTGATCTTTGCTCACTAAGTTAGAAAAGAGCTCTTTGTCTTGGTCTAGAAGTATCTTCTGGTATATACTAAGTAAATACTCTTCTACACCAATCCTCGATGAAGTCTCCACAGATCTCGATGAGGTCAGGTTGGAAGTTAATGGACTTAAAGGAGGAGGATACATTGGTGCTTCTGAGTTCGTAGTTGTTTCCTCTTTTTTTATCTCTGTTGGAGCATCACTTACTGTACCAGATGGATAGTTCTTTATCACAATGTTATTAGTTGTTCTTGAATCAACATTGCTTGTTGGTTCAATTGGAAGATTAGCTGCACCATAAAGAATTGACTTCGATCTCATTTGTTATGAGTAAAAATTGTTTTATTCTCATATAAATGACGAACATTAACCCAGAGAACAACACAGAATATACTGCAACAGGAGTTGTTTACAATGATCTAGATCAGATCGTCCAACTCAAAGCCCCAAGAGGAAGGAATTTAATAAGACAACCTCCACCAAAGATATATGTTGATGATGGTAGTAATGGGTTCAACTTAGTGTATCATTACTCATATCCTCAATATGCAAAAATTGGGTCTACCCCAAACGTGACAAACCATTATATGAACCTTTATGATGAAGCAAGGTTTCATGCACCAACGAAGAAAGAACCTGATGCATCAAGATTACATGAATTCGCAGACCATGATGGTTATAGCGATTACTCAATGCCTGTAAGACTTTAACGTTAATAAAAAAATGACTGTTGGTAAACAAGAAAAAACTTTAATACAAGAGGATTTGATGCTACCAATATATTCAACTGATATGGGAGCTTATCAATTCGATACATTTGAGAATCCTGGTGGAACACCACCATATTTTCTTTTGTTCATCAATGTAAACAGTAGAAAAGGTTATGCGTTCCCAATGAGTGAAAAGAACTCAAACAATGTTCTAAGTGCAATGCAGAAGTTCATTTCACAAGCTACAGGTGAAATGAAGCCTACAATACTTACTAGTGATGAAGACCCAGCTTATACGACACAAAATGTTCGAGATCTGTTGGTCAGTCATAACATTGAGCACATGACGACACAGAAATACAATCATAACATACTAGGTATTATTAATAGGTTCTGTAGAACTATTAGAACTATGTTACATATGAAGTTAAACCTCAAAGAAGGTGATAAAACACCACCTTTCACTGCAGATACAATGAGACAAATTATTAATGACTACAACACTGAATATCATTCAAGCACACAACAAAAGCCTGATGATTTCACAGAAAAGGATAATGAGGAATATATAAAGAAGCAAAGATTGAAAGAAGAGTATGTCAGAAAAAATAACCTTTATAACTTAAGACCTGGTCAAAAAGTTCAAGTCATAGTTGAACCAAGAACATGGGGTAAAGGTAACCAACAAAGAAGACATCTTGATCCTTCTTATTATACAGTTGATTCAGTTGATACAAGTGCATACTTGTTAAGAGCAAAAGATGGAAGTGTTGCAAGATATCCACGTTATCAGATATGGACAAAAATAGAGCATGGATTAAAGCAAGGAGAAACTTTAGATCAAGGAAGACACGGTGCTGTTAAAAGTATTGATGGTCATGAACTTGTCGGTAATGATGTAAAGTATGATGTTACGTTTGAGAACGAAAATACAGGAAAAGTGACAGGTAGAGGTATGCGTGAAGGTAATCCAAACAGGTTGTCACAAATGGAAGTACAGTATTGGAGGAAAAATATTAATGAAGGTCATGTTAAAGATATGCCTAGTTTTCTTGAGAAGTATCGTGGGTTTCGAGTTTAGCTTGTAAGTCCTTTATTTTTGTTTCATACAATGAGATCTTCCTTCTGATCTGTTCATCATTGAGAGGTTGCTTGACTTTACGGAACTGTACACGTCCGTCTTTCATTGTATGTACATAATATCCATCAGGAACCTTACCATCTTTTATATATTCAGTTAACCACTTTTGTTTAGTTGATGCTTTAATGACTTGACTCATTTCTTACTGGATAAATTTTTATGTTTTTTATCTTTTGACGATTTTTTCTTATCCTTATCTTTCTTCTTGTCCTTGTCCTTCTTTGATTTATCCTTCTTCTTGTCCTTGTCCTTCTTGGACTTCTCTGCTGCAGGTGGTGTTGGATTCTGTTTGACTTTAGCACTTGGGTCAGGACCTTGTCTTTGAGACTTAGATATAGATTGTTTAGGAGCTGCTGCTTGTTTAGTTGCTTCAGCTTGTTGTTTAGCTAATTCAGCAGCTTGTTTATCATTCTCTTCTATTTCCTTTGCACCAGTTGCGACTTCATTCTTGAACTTTTGGAGATTCTCAGCAGCATCCATTACCTTATTCGCTCCTTTAAACAATCCATAAAATTTCTGCCATGGTGATACTGAAGGTATATTTCCACCAATTGCTGGAGGAACTGATGCTTCAGGAGTTGGAGATGGTGTTTTGTCTGAATTGAGATGCTTTTCTGCTTCAAGAACTTGTGTAGTATTTTTCTCCAGGTATGCTTTTGCAACCTCCTTAACTTCTGGACGTTCATTATTTACATCCTGTCTTGGTGTTGATGTTTCAGTAGCGTTTTCCTGAGTTACATTAACAACAGGTTGCTCAACTGCTGAAACATTAGCTGCTTCAGTAATGTTATGAGTAGTTGAAACATTTCCTGATATACCTTCTCCTGTTGGAACTCTTGGAGCAATTGTTGTGATGTTCGCCATTGCAGGAGTTGGAGTAGGAGTGTCATCAATCTTTCTGTCAGCTTTCGTCGTTTGCGTTGTAGTATTTGTTGTTTCATTACCATATTTTGATCTTAGTCTGGTAAGCTCTAACTTCATATGTTCTTCAGGATATGCATACTTATTATATTCACCCTTAATATTCTTTTTCCATTCATCGTATTTATCTTCTGCTGATTTCTTAATTGATGCTAGTCCGTTTACAGCCAATTCATCAGTACCGTTATCAGTAGTCTGGTTATATAAAAGATTAGCAGCTGATCTAATTGTGTAATCCGTAAGATTACCAAAACGCTCTATTGTACCTAATGTTGTGTTCTTCAGTTCCTTTCCAATTCCTTGTGCAGCATCTTTGACTAAATCAGCACCCCATGCACCAAATTGTCTCACAGGAGCCGCTATTGATGGTGAAGGAGATGGAGATGGCGATGGAGTTGGTGATGGTGAAGGAGATGGAGATGGTGAAGGAGATGGAGTTGGCGATGGTGTTGCTGCTTTCGCCTTTCTATCAGCTTCTTCCTTAGCCTTTCTATCTGCTTCTTCTTTCGCCTTTCTATCTGCTTCTTCCTTAGCCTTACGAGCTTTTTCTTTCTTCTTAAGTTCCTCTAGTTCTTTACGTTCAGCTTCTTCTTTCGCCTTTCGTTCAGCTTCTTCCTTAGCCTTTCTATCTGCTTCTTCTTTCGCCTTTCTATCTGCTTCTTCCTTAGCCTTACGAGCTTTTTCTTTCTTCTTAAGTTCCTCTAGTTCTTTACGTTCAGCTTCTTCTTTCGCCTTTCGTTCAGCTTCTTCCTTAGCCTTACGAGCTTTTTCTTTCTTCTTAAGCTCCTCTAGTTCTTTACGTTCAGCTTCTTCTTTCGCCTTTCGTTCAGCTTCTTCCTTAGCCTTACGAGCTTTTTCTTTCTTCTTAAGCTCCTCTAGTTCTTTACGTTCAGCTTCTTCTTTCGCCTTTCGTTCAGCTTCTTCCTTAGCCTTACGAGCTTTTTCTTTCTTCTTAAGCTCCTCTAGTTCTTTACGTTCAGCTTCTTCTTTCGCCTTTCGTTCAGCTTCTTCCTTAGCCTTACGAGCTTTTTCTTCATAATATTTTGTATACTTATCATCAGCCCAATTACCAAGTGATTTGGCACCTGTTAGTATTCCATTTGCGGTTGATGTTGCTGTTCTTCCGAGCCATCCCCCTACCGCTGAAGCACCATTGCCAATAGCACTACCAGCATTTAAAATTCCACGACCAATCCATATCCCTGGTTTTGCCTTTGTATTAAGAGTAAGAAATTCTTCCTTCCTATCTTCAGGTGTAGGATTTGTAACAGTTCTTACAGTATCAACAACAGTGTCAACACTGGTTCCAATAGCACTACCAACAGCTGTTGCACCAGTTAGAATACCATGGGTAACTAAATCAGTAGCTCTTGAGACAACATTATCACTCGAGGCTTTCTCTGCTGGATAGTTTGATCCTTTGTAAGTTCCTGGACCACCTCTATTTGAAGCTTCTCCTTCAACTATTTTCTTCTCTTCTTGTGCTTGTTCTCTGGCAACACTCAATGCACGTTCTTGTCTTTGAATGTTGTCTTTCTTTAACATGTAACCACCAAGTGTCTGTGGTGGTGTGTTTTTATCTAGTGCAGCATCAATTGCAGCCTTTTCTTTTCGCTTTTCTTCGTCTAACCAATTTTGAATAGATTCTGCATCAGTTGGTTCAGCTGGAGTTGGAGACGGTGTTGGAGCTTTAGTTGGTGTTGGAGACGGTGTCGGAGCTTTAGTCGGAGTTGGAGATGGTGTAGGTGCTTTAGTCGGAGTTGGAGATGGAGTAGGTGCTTTTGTAGGTGTCGGTGATGGAGTTGGAGATGGAGTTGGAGGTACTGTTGGTTCTGGAGTTGGTTCAACAGTCGGTGAAGGTGTTGGCGCCTTTGTGATTCTTGGAGTTGGCTCTGGTGTTCTAATAGGGGAAGCAGTTGGTGTATTAGCTCTTTTAAGAACCTGTGATCTTTCCGCTTGATTTGAATCAGATACTGGGTTAGTTGTACTAGGATGTGATACAGGAGTTATTTTTGGTGTAGGTGTTGGTTTATTTAATGTTATACCATGACTACTCGACATTGGTGGAGGACCTGCGTGAGCAGTTGGTGTCAGAGTTGGCGTTGGAGCTACTGTAGGAGTTGGCGTTGGAGCTACTGTTGGTTCAGGAGTGGGAGTTGGTGTTGGAGCTACTGTAGGAGTAGGTGTAGGAGTTGGTGTTGGAGTCGACATTTGTTTTAACCTCTCATTATACCAATTCTCCAAATAATAAGCCTCACCCATTAAGTTACTCTGTCTTTGTTTTATAGAAAATTCACCTAACAGTAATTCATCATGAATCATTTTCTGCAGCTTTGTCGTGTTTTCTACTTCCTTTATTAGAACGCTCGATGTATTCGCCAATCCTCTATATTCCTTAATCATCTTATCTAGTTTGTTCATATTTGGTACTTCCTTTTTCTTCTCAGCGTTAATCTCATTAGATCGTTTCTCCAATTCTTCAACTACTTTGTAAAGCTTATTTATCTTGACATGTGATTCCTTTACTTCTCCAGTCCTTGGATCCTTAGGTTCCTTGTATTTAGCTAATTTCGTCTCTATATATCTTCGTTTAGCGTCATATCCAGGATCACTGGTTCGTAAAGGATGCGAAGGTGGACGAAAATAAGGTATGTAGAAATCTGGATCATCATTAATAGAAGAACGTGCTTTAAAGTTACGAACCGCGTCTGTAAAAGGGTCTCTACCACGTGCTGTATATGTTGATGTAATCAAAAAGCCTTCTCTTCTCATTGGGAAATTAATACGACCTTTTTGAACATATTCTTTCTCAAAGTATTGCCTAGCATTGTAATCAAAAGCAAGATCATTATATATATCGCGCAAAAAATCAAATGTATGCTGCTTGAACTTTTGATCGCTAATTATGGTACGAATTATCGGACGTTCATTCTCCCATTTCTTAACTCGTTCATCAATGAGTTTCCTCTCTTGTTCACTCATTTAAACCTCATAAAAATATATTATCTGCGTATAGTGCCACTAATAGCATTAATCCATGGCATGTCTGATAGTACACGTACTGACTGAACTAATGGCTTATGATTGTTCCAAATAGCTCCTCCAATGTATGCGTTATACTTATTGTTGTCAATAGTTTGTTGAGGTTGAACTATAGGTGTTTCAACAGGCTTGTCTCTACTGAAGTCACCACCAAGAGCTTTATTGAATGCTTTAAGATTCTTCGTTAATGCATTATCTTCACCTAATGTAGTTTTTGCAATTCTTTCACCAAGACTACCGATAACACCACCGACTTGACCAACTTGAGGGAAAAGTTTGTTAGCAATGTTAAATCCAGCACCTATTACAAGACCAGGATTTTTTTTCACCATACCCCATCCAGCTTTAACATAATCGCCAAAACCCATTTATTTCTTCTTAAAATAATGTCATCTTTTGTTGCTTAACTTCTTTAAAGTCCGTCTTTCCTGCAACTATATGAACTTCCATATATGAACGAGGTGTTGGTAGCTCTTTGTATTTGTTCCATAACTCTTCCCAATCTTCTGTTGCTCCTGACTGTTCAATCATTGACTGAAAGTCTCTCATAGAATAACCTTGAAAGATAACGAAGTCAGTGCATAGTCTCTTAATGTTTAAACATATATGTCTCCATGTTTGACACATGATGACAACAGTATAGTTATAATGTCTGACCTTAGTGATGAAGTTCGCTAATGGTGAACGTGGGTCATTCAATAAGTCATGACCACCATAATCGTCTAACACTAATAGAGAATTACTGGGATACTTTGTGAAAGGATATTTGTTCAACTTCTTTACAACATATATTGCAATCTTCTTATACTCAAACTTTCCATCAGGTTTCCTTAGTTGATGCTTTGTTAAGATGTGTTCCATCTCCTCTGAAATTTTTTCGAACTTACTTTGAACGAACTCAACAATAGCGTAATACTTTGCTTTCATCTTAACGTTCTTCATTAAATAAGGCATAAGTTCCTTTAATTCTTTTTCATCATCCTTTTTCAGTACTGGTGCTTTAACTTGACTCATAAATGTCTTCGCTGTTTTATCCATTGTTCCTGATGTTGCTGAGATAACTATTGAGTCATAATATGGAGTATTAGTGAAGCGGTCTGTTATCATTATATGACGAATAACACCATATGTCTTACCTGAACCCATCTTACCGCAGTAGAAATAAACACCATTAGTACAAAATGGATAATCATCAGAAAATGGCATAATGAGTGCATTGTTTAGTTCTTTACTATTCTTACGTGCTCCATCATGAAGAATCTTATCTACTTGATTAATAACTTTCTCCATCTTTTAGTTACATATAAAATGTCTAAATATGATGGATTATACTATGAACATGTTATGAATGATGGCACGATAAGTGGTAATACAGTCTCATATAAATTACCGAGAGACTTCATTGAATATCCTGCGTCAAAAGCTCTTGAGATAAGAAAGATAAGTCTTGAGCATCCAGACTTTGAGTTTCTTGCTATTCCATTAGAAATGACAGATTCATCAAAATCAGTGAAAAAAAGGTTTGACATGAGATATTACATAAAACCCAACATGACTACACAGGAGTTGAATGAAGGTCTTATGGAAAAAATGACTGAGGCAAGTAGAGAATTTGTTGATTGTTACTATGATTCAAATGAAAATAAATTGAATGTATTAAGAAAAGGTACATCACCAATCATAACATTACCTTCATACAGTAGTATAGAAAAAAATGCCTTGAATTATAAATATGACATGTCCCTAGGAGATGTGTTGGATTTCATCACTGCGTTATTAGAAACCACTGAAACAGACACAACATCAAAAAACCAGAGCTTGTTTGGGAAGATGACCATGGTAGAACATTCACGCAAAAAGTAATTCCATCGAAAGCAAAATTTTTAGACTTATGGGAAAAAAAATATATCTCGCGAATGCATGTATATTATAGTTTTACCATAGCAGATTTCACTGACGAAAATGATAAAGATAAAAAAACATATAAGTACTTTGATGAGCTTTTCATAACTATAGCGAATATCAGGTTTATCCTTGAGCGAAAGGGCAAACCAACATATAAATTTGTCGGTTATCAGATAAGAATAAATCCTCTCCTTGAGCCTTTAGTAACGTTGAGTAATATTGCTCATGATAACAAACAATTTATATGTAATGTGAATGAACAGCTTGTGCCACCAAAATTTTACGATATCACTGGTTATAAAGATGCACTCGTGTTTGAGTTTTATAAGCGCTTTTCATTCAAAAGAGTTGAAGAATCAACTGATGGTCAAAAAAAGGAATATTATGTAAAAGAACCATATGAAATTCCTAAAGACTCTAATATAATGGTTGAACTTATATTAGAGTCTGGTACTCAATCTCAACATAAATAGTTTACGTGACAGAATTTTTTTGACACGTAAAGTTTACATTTTAATGGAAGCGAACAACAAAGCTCCTGCTAGTGAATAAAGGTTAGTTTACATATGAACGTTTATTTTTACACATATATGCGTACATATGCGCGCCCGTATGGTGTCAGTTTTCTGTCACTTTTTTCATTGTGTCGGTGACTGTAGCTGTAGGCTACAGGCGACGCACAATGTATACTGTACTAATGTTCACCTTTTATTCATCACCTTGTGGTATGCCCTAAAGCAATAGCATTATCAATTCTGCTGAATTGATGGCAAACCCAAATTTTAGCTAAAAGTGACAGGGAAAAAAAACGTTTAGTATTAAAAAAAAGACCGATGAGAGCTTCGTTCGAAATATAGAGGGAACTGAGAATGCGCAACCATTCTCAGGGAATATTGGATGCTATTCCCGTTCCCTCTGTATGGAAAATTGAGGTTTTCAAAAGGAGTTAAAATAATATCAAATTTATACTAATTTACTTCAAAATACAAAAGTATTTGACAGCTAAAATTAGTTACTTTAGCAAGCCTATCAATACCCTTTTACGATTATTGTTACTTTTTCGAAATAAAAGTAAAAACAAATTTATACTAATTTACTTCAAAATACAAAAGTATTTGACAGCTAAAATTAGTTACTTTAGCAAGCCTATCAATACCCTTTTACGATTATTGCTACTTTTTCGAAATAAAATAAATTTATTATCAAAAACCTTTTTTTTTAGTAAAAATAAACGAAATTTTTTACCTTATGAACTTTTGATGGAAATATGCAAATTTAAAATAATAAAGAAAGCCGCGAGCGAAGCGATCGGCTTAGTTCGAAGATTTTGATTCAAATCTTTGCTGATCTGTAATTCGCGGAAGCCGCGAGCGAATCGAGCGGCTTAGGTCTAAGATTTTGATTCAAATCTTTGCTTATATTCCTTAAATTCTTTATGAAACTCGCAACAGTTCCATAAAAAATTTTAAATTCTAAACTGTCGAAATTACCGATCGGTAATCACACCCTTCATGGGTATGTCACTTTTTACAGGTGTGTCACTTTTAGCTAAAATTACCCCTACTCGAAAAAATCAATTTCGAAAAAAATTTGGAAAATCAAAGTATTTGATAATTAGTCAAATAATCAATTTACATCGTTTTTACTGTTGTAAACAGAAATTCATCAAAAGTGACACCTCAGAAAAGCTAAAATATTGAATTTTTGGAACTTTTGATAGAGCACGTTTTTAAATATTAATTAAAGTAAATGTATATTTTGTAAAGATTCTTTTAAATAAAAAATAAAATTTTGAAGAAGAACACAAAATCTTCTGAAAAATAATATCACATAAACTCATATTATTTTCTAATATATAACTATTTTATATAAAAATCAAATTCAATGATCTTAAAAGCGAAGGATAAACCTCAAAATTTACGAATATAATGAGTGGGAATATAATGCTTATCTATCATAAAACCATATGAAATATCAATTTTTGCTTTACGCCTAATTTTTGACGACAATTAGCAAAAAATGTTAAATGTTAACACTCAGTCCATTTGAATATGAAAAATAAAATTGACTTTGATTAAATGTTTTTATTTATCATGCAATTCTTCTTGCGACCAAAGATTTGAATAAAAGTTCAAAAAATAAGATAGCTTAAAAAATAATATACGGTAGTGTTTACTAATAGATGAATAGTATATAAATTCTATTAAAATGGATTTGATCCAAAAAAATATAAAACCAAAAATAATTGTTATAATTTAAATGAAGAAGTAATTTAAAACGATTTTATTTATGATCAAATTTTATATATTTTTTTGGATCAAATCCATTTTAATAGAATTTATATACTATTCATCTATTAGTAAACACTACCGTATATTATTTTTTAAGCTATCTTATTTTTTGAACTTTTATTCCAAACCTTTGGTCGCAAGAAGAATTGCATGATAAATAAAAACATTTAATCAAAGTCAATTTTATTTTTCATATTCAAATGGACTGAGTGTTAACATTTAACATTTTTTGCTAATTGTCGTCAAAAATTAGGCGTAAAGCAAAAATTGATATTTCATATGGTTTTATGATAGATAAGCATTATATTCCCACTCATTATATTCGTAAATTTTGAGGTTTATCCTTCGCTTTTAAGATCATTGAATTTGATTTTTATATAAAATAGTTATATATTAGAAAATAATATGAGTTTATGTGATATTATTTTTCAGAAGATTTCATTCTATATGCCTATGAAAAGTACTCTCAAAACTAACTTTTTCCTAATTATAATTAAATCTAGAATATTGTATTATGCTTAGTATTATTTCATTTTTCTCATTCAATTTAGAATTTACAAATGTCAAAAAATTGAGAGCTGTCACTTTTGATGAATTTCTGTTTATTACATTACTCATAAAAAACAACTAATTTTTGATTTTGATATCATATTTGATAAATACTCATTACAGAGGAGAGAGGGTCAAAGTTGCTATTTGTCACTTTTCCACAAGAATATAATGGGGAAAAAGTTATCATATAGTTGCTCTCATTCACTGAGGTGAGAGATGCATGTAGTGTAATGTGATAAACAGTGCTATTGCTGCTCTAAGTCCTAGGTTCGAGACACATTGGCTTCATTTTTCTCTTTTTTATTGACGTAAACTATTCAATTTTTGTGTTCTCCATTCAAATTTCAGAATTTTTTTTGCAGATTTCACGCTACATTCGAAGTTACCTTTTGTAACAACCACCACTGCCTACGAAAGACGAAAGTGTGTCACGACTTCACCCGGAAATCCGACGGTTGTTTAAGAGTAAGCACTTTTGGCACCTACTCCATTACAGAGTTGACGTAATGTATTAATTATTGTTAGAGATATTGCTTTCGCAGCAAAATTCTTATTTCATGAAAGAAAAAAAAAAGATTTTATTCCAACAAAAACAAGTAAACAGATGAATGGAAACGTACTATATTTTCATAAATGTAGTAATCAGCGTGTCAGCTTTTGTTTATCATGTTCGAGTCAAAATGTATTAACTTGTAATAAGAAATATTCGAAGATTATATGAAGTATTGAGCATTCTTTGTAGAAATATTTGTAATTCATTACTAACATATATAATAAAGTTGTTTTTTTTTCCTTATTGCAATAATTTTGTCTGATTTTAATAACTTTTCATGTATACGAGTTGTGTGAATATGCATCATAATATGCGTAAATATACTTATTTGCGACGAATAATGTGGTTGCATAATGGAGGTGCTAAATTTTGATTTTTAATATGGGGCTTTGGTATGTATAATCATGTTCTTATCTCAACGTAGGAGTATTGGTGCAATATGATTAAAATTTACGAGGTTGATCTTAAATTGAATAATTCTGGAGTATAAATCACAATGCAGCTAATTCTATGTTAAAGATAGATACAGATTGTAGTAATCAATTAGGGAGTACAAATTCATTCTTTCATTTCTGTCGTATTGAGCAGAAAGGAAGAGATCATAACCCTAGGAAAAAAAGCCCAAATTTGTCACTTTTCATAGTACGTTAAACTCAATTCGCTCGGCGAATGCCGAGCACACGTACTCATCATTCAACATAATATTCTCATTCTTTGGTTATTATAGTGCCAGACAACACAAGATTTCAAAGAATTACTTGAGTTTTCAATTAATCTTAATCCGATTTTAGATTTATCGAGAACTCCATCATCACAATCACATACTTCAGTGCGGTAACTACAATTATCCATATACAGAAGGAAGTTCTTTTCGAACAACTCATTTGGAGTCTGTTTTGGAAAGAACTTCTTTCTGTCCGACTTAATTTCATAGTTCCTGATCAACCAAAAGACAGAAACCACACACTATCTACTTAGGAAAGGAGTTCTTTCTAAATCTTCCTTAAATTGAGATTTTACGAGAGATAACCCTTCTATTGCACTTAAAAATGAACATTTTGATATCTTTAGTATCACACATGGTCATATATAGTATTTCATCTACATGAATACATTCATCTTTCGAAGCCTCCCATTTAATGAGAGACTTCGAAAGATGAATCGTTTTATTCATACAACTTTAAATCTCGAACACATTTAGAGAGTGAGTATATCATTTTATTCTTGTTTTGAGTTTATTCTGATTCAAAATTGCAGTGAAAACAGAAGTTCACACATCATATCTGAATGTGAGCTCATCTATACTTATACGATCTCAATACCTCCACTCTAAGCATAAGAGGTGAAGTTATATAAAAATTATCAGATGCGTTGAAGTCTCAAAAGTATTGCCCGAATGCTTGTTTCATATTTGTCCAAGTAGTTTCAATGAATAAATGTATTGTTTTATAATTTCGATTTTTTTTGAAAGTATTCAATATAACCTTTATTGTGTTATTTACATCTCATAAATTCTCTGTCTAAATCATATAAAGCGCGTTTTACCCTATGAATCAAGAAATTCATTCAAATTATGGTATATTTATTAAATTTATACGATTTACTAATAATCATATTATATCCTCATAAATAGCAATATTTTGGTAATCTATGATAATCATATACAATATTTGAAAAAATTTTCATTAGTTTAGGTTTCCTTGTTAATAGTAAACCATTATATTTATTACTAATAATAAAATCTATGTGTCGTATTGAAATTCAATAAAATTACTTATTCGGTCCAAAAAAACAAATTAGATAAAATTTTTCTTTTTTTATGTAATTTTTGTTTTTCATTTTTCTCAAGATCCTAAGTTATGTTCTAACTTTTGACATCATATCCTATCATGCTAGGCTATATATTATAGCATATCCAAAAGGCAAGGAAATCTATCAGAGAAGCCTTTTTGACCTATTGTTGCCCTACCTCTGGATTTGATCTGATATGTTATATATTAATTCGACTCAGCGTTGATTAACTTGTAAACTATTCAAAATAAAAAATCTCTCTCAAAAATTTTAATCAAAAAGTGTAAACTTTTCAATAATTGTTTCCACTTTACAAAGTCAGTATTTTTCGGTATGAATTCTGTGATATTTCCATCTATAAAGTTCTAAATCTCGAATTTTAAATTAAAATGTTATTGTATGGAGAAAGTTCGAGATAGCGCTTTCACAATTGAAAATCATGTTATAATAGATTCACTAGCTTTAGGAAGACCTAACATGTCTAAGGTTTAGATGATAAATAACATATTTGAACATACAAGATATTTAAATTAAATTCTCTTCATGGAATCGCATATATGGTATTCTCTTGTACTATAATGTGTGATTTATCCAATCTTTTCATAGTTCATTATTTCATTGCCCAAATTAAAGGTCTTACACGCAGCTTATGAAAGATTCTATAAATTGAGATGCTTTCAGAAATAACCGTTTTACACTATCAAATTCATTTTGCTGTATGGTTGCAGCAACTGCAATAATACTTGCAACAATTAAAGTTGGTACTATAAGATACAAGTTCTATATGAATAATAACTCATTTTATTCAATTATACCTGATGTTGCCTTGGAATGTCTTCCAGTTTCCTTTAAATATGCTGGAAAGGGCCTCAAATATGTAAATTATTATGTTCAAACAGAGCATGTACTAGGAACAGCGTCCACATTATCAAGAACCTTAAATATTCTCGGAAAAGGAATCAAAACTGCAAATTATTTTCATTATACGCTTGGATATGCAAATTTAATGCGCAACAGTCTTTTTATAACAAAAAATTTAAATGATTTTTACAAAAATCGCGCAAAAAATCCCAATAATTTCAAAGATCCATTTATTAGAATAAATGAAACTTGTGATGAAGAATGCTATCAGAGTATATTTCAAAATGAGTCATCTTTTGATTATAATTTTACAAATTCGTCAGAAACAGATGCATTAAAACTCAATTTATATTTAGTAAACAATGCAATTTCACTTGGAACATTAAGTTTGATGAATGCAATAAATACTACAGGAAATTACTCCGAATTATCAGAACTGCTCACAGTCACTTTAAATAATATTGAAGCTTTCAAACAAATGGCTTTGTTGTTGAATCAAACAATTAATGATCAAGAAACAAATCAAACAAATACTGAAGAAGATGAAAGTGAAAAAAGCTGGATCGATAAAGCTAAAGATAATATAAAGGAATCTTTTGAAGCAGCAAAAGAATATGCAGATAAAGTAATGGATAAATCTAAAGAATTTGCAGATAAAGCTAAAGAAAATATTAATGATTCTTATGAAGCAGCAAAGGAATATGCAGATAAAGCGAGAGATAAATCTAAAGAATTTACAGATAAAGCTAAAGAAAAATCGAAAGAATTTGCAGATAAAGCTAAAGAAAATATAAAAGAATCTTATGAAGCAGCAAAAGAATATACAGATAAAGCAATGGATAAATCTAAAGAATTTGCAGACAAAGCTAAGGAAAGCATTAAAGAATCTTATGAAGCAGCAAAAAAATATGCAGATAAAGTAATGGATAAATCTAAAGAATTTGCAGATAAAGCATTTTCTTCAGTAAAAAAAATCGCATATAAAATATAATAGCCAGAGCGATAACGAATCATTTGAGAATATCTTACAAGAGTAGTTTGAGATGGAAATTCATCTTGCAATGATGCTTTCCCTTCACATTAGGGTTGTACAAACTGGCACGCCTGCTGGCACACCTTTTTTGGCCAGCTGGCACGATTTTTTTAAAAAACACATTAAAAAAGTCACTTTTTGCCCCATCTAATGAGATTTTTTTTTACAATTTTTTTCCCCTTATTTTTCAATTTAGATATGATTTTATGCTCTCCAAATTGAAGTTTACCTGATGTTTCTTAGTTTTTATGATAATAAAATGTTGCAAAGTTAAGTTTGGATTCAATAAATTTAAGAAAATTTTATTTTACAATGAAATTATAAGAAAGGATGTTTTTATCCTATGTCAAAGAGAATACATTTGTAGATCCCGACTTTTGACATGGTTGAAAATTCCAAAAAAAAATTCAAAATTTAAAAAAAAAATTAAAAAATATAAATTTCATGTTCAAAAATGATTTTTGAAATTTTTTTGGAAAAATAGAATGTCATATTTTTATGTTTTATTGCTATTTTTTACGAAATCAATAAAATATTTGTTAATTTGGCTGAGATTATAAATAAAATCTTTCTAAATCTTGCAATTGATTGCTAAAATCTGTTTTATGTATTAATTGGCATTGAGATTCGTTATAAAAGAATGCGAATTATTTTGTATGAGTAAACGTATTTTGTAAAATTTCAAATTCTCTTCTCTCATTACTTACCTTAGATCTCTCGGCTTTTAGCTCTCAGATTTCGCTCATAGAACTCAGGTTTTAGTTATGTACTCATAGATGTATCATTACTGCCCGCAGATCTCTCATTACTACCTTACTAACCAGATCTTAACTCTCATTACTACCTTACTAACCAGATCTTAACTCTCATTACTACCTTACTAACCAGATCTTAACTCTCATTACTACCTTACTAACCAGATCTTAACTCTCATTACTACCTTACTAACCAGATCTTAACTCTCATTACTACCTTACTAACCAGATCTTAACTCTCATTACTACCTTACTAACCAGATCTTAACTCTCATTACTACCTTACTAACCAGATCTTAACTCTCATTACTACCTTACTAACCAGATCTTAACTCTCATTACTACCTTACTAACCAGATCTTAACTCTCATTACTACCTTACTCATCAGATCTTAACTCTCATTACTACCTTACTAACCAGATCTTAACTCTCATTACTACCTTACTCATCAGATATCTAATTATTTACATATGATTTCTCACATCTCACTCAAGTCTCATTACTTACCCTATCTTTTTAACCTTTTCTGATAATTACTGAAATAACTAAATCCTTTTTTTAGTTTAATTCTGATATTAAATTTTTAAAATCTCTTTAATTTTTTGAACTACGCCTTTAATTTGTAATTGCCGATTTCACAGATTTGAACCATTTAATAAAATAACATTATTCAACTTAATCATATCAAACATGGTAGTTTGATTTTCAGATCTACATTTTAAAAACCTCTTATTATCTTGAGTTATACTTTTATTATATAATACCTGAGTTCATAACTGAAAACTCTTAATTAGAGTACAATATTCAACTTAATCATAACAAGATTTGTTGAATTTCAAATTTGATTTATATTTTCCATCACTTAAAACTCTCACAGCTTACAATATAAGCTAAAAAGTATATTTTCATAGTAATAAAATTAATTATTAAATTTTTTACTTTTTCCTTTCCAAAACTAGAAAAAAAGGAAAGGAAAAGGGAAAAAGAAGAAAGAAAAGAGAAAAAGAAAAAAAAGAAGAGAAAAGAAGAAAAAATAATAATGAGCATATTATATAATTGTGGTCATAGGCCTCGTGGCGTGGAAAGGGTGGAGCCCTTCGGGCTCCACCCTTTCCACGCCACGAGGCCCGATTTTTGGCCACTTTTTTGATTTTGGCCGCCTGCCAGGAGCTGGCACGCGGCCCGCAAAATTGTGCCAGTTTGTACAACCCTACTTCACATGGTTCTTCTCTGATCATGATCAGGCACCCTCAAAAATTCATAAATTCTAGAAAGCCAAAGGAAGTTTTTAATGACTTTTCGAAAGTAGCACACTGGTTCTTTCTTCTTTTATCAAATGAATACTGACTAAGTATGATGACAATTTCATTTTAAGCATCTAAAACTGTCTTTAGATTCAAGGAATCAAAAGAAAGCTCTTACGCTGGAGGAAAATGAATTAACCATTTTTATAGGAAATTGCATATTTATTCAGTTGTATTTTCTTCTTGACTTTTGTTTATCTTATAAAATTTCTTCATTTAAACTTTTAATTGTCCAACATTTTTCATGAAAATATATAAAAAAAATTATTGAAATAATCAGGCTTCCGGAGGTAATGCTACTCATTTAGGAGTATTTCTTCTTTTGGCCGATAACTGCATAAGGTCAAATTTGTTAGATGAGAAATATGACTGTCATTATTTTTCCATTTTGTTTCTTCTCTCTTTTGAATAATCTTAATGTAAATATTCAATTCCACTAAACTGAAAAATGGCATTATTTATTTTATATCGAATGTTTTAATGAAATTTTAAAAATCATCAAAATTCAAATAATATTTCCTAAATATCGAGTATTCGACTGCAAGGAGTGTTCGAAACGATCTGCTATTGTTATTAAGAATATCTAAACAGAAATACTATCTTTCTTTCTTTTTTTTTTGAATTTATTCAATTTAATTTGAGGATGTTTTATTGTCGTCTGGAAAAAGTGACAAAATTATTATTGTCGTCTAAAAAGGTGACAAATTATTATTGTCGTCTGGAAAAGTGACAAAATTATCATTGTCGTCTAAAAAATAGATTTTTCAAGCATGTTTCGGTACCTAAATAAAGGAAGAACATCAATTCCATCTATGTATATAGTATGCAAACACGCATGATATATGGAGTAGTTCTTTATCTGGCTAAAAATCCTATTATTTGAAAATTCGCATTGTCGTCTAAAACCGCCAGACGACAATAATAATACCCCATTTAATTTCAAAGTGAATTATTGTCAGAAATGATTTTTGGTAAAAGAATGTATCGTTTATAATTTATGTTTTAACATCATGCAATATGCATATCAACGATATTAATTAATTGCATATTCAATCCCGATCATAGTGTGAATTCACAATTGTGAATTCACCCCTTCTGAAAAAATTTTGATAGAAAAATTTATGAAACTTAACTTCATTTTTCAGAAATGGAGATTCCACAACTCGGCTTCGGCACATATCTTGCTAATGATCCAGCAAAGCTCAAAGCAGCACTTCATTATGCCATTGAAGAATGCGGCGTTAGACATATTGATACTGCTTTTGCCTACTACAATCAAAATGTCATTGGCGAAACACTCAAAGAAATCTTTGCCAAAGGAAAGATAAAACGTGAAGATATGTTCATCACAACAAAGTTATGGTGCACACATCACAGAAAGGATCTTGTTGAGCCAGAGTTACATGAGAACTTGGCTCAATTGCAGCTTTCTTATGTTGATCTCTTCCTCATTCATCAACCAATTGCATTCAAATCCTTACCTGCAAAGGATGGAACAATGATGCCAAAGGATGAGAAGGGAAAGATCCAGTATGAACAAATTGATATCCTTGAAACATATCATGCAATGGAAGAATGCCAGAAGAAGGGATTGACAAGGCATATTGGTGTTTCTAACTTCTCAATCGAGCAGCTCGAGAGAATCTGGTTCAATTGCGAAATTAAGCCATATGCTAACCAAGTCGAGTGCAATATTTACAGACAGTTCAAGCCACTCCTTAGCTACTGTGAGTCCCACAACATCTACTTAATGGCTCACACAACAATTGGCCATCCACCGCTTAAAGGTCCATTTGGAACAAGCCTTCTCGAAGATCCAGTTGTCAAACAAGTTGCTAGCGAAGCAAAGAAGACAAGTGCTCAGATTTGCCTTAAGTTCTTGCAGCAGAAGTCCAAGATGTACATTCTCATCCCAATGTCAATGAATCCAAAGAATATCAAGTCAAATTATGAACTTGATTTCACCTTGACTGAACAACAGATGAAGAAGCTTGAAGAATTAGATAGATTCTACTCCTTCTATGATTATGCAGACTTCTTTGGAGTTGATATCCTTAACCTCGGTACTAACAGATGGGGTCAGTAAATTTAATATGAAAGAATAAAAAACTGATAACAGTTCTGCAAAAATGAATCTTTTTTTATAATTTTTATTCATTCCGTTGATGGAAAAATAAAAAATATATTTTATTTGCATAATCTGTTTAGTTCTTGCTCTATTGCCTTTAATATATTTTGTTTAAGAAAACTTAGAACCAGAGTTCTAATGAGAATACCAAAGGAAATTCAATATTAAAAAAAAATGTTAAATAACTAACAAATCGATACACAGTGAATTGTTGCATATTGGTTAACTTGATCACACTCATATCGAAACTGTGAAAGAAACAAAATGCAAAAACTATTTTTGAATTAAATTACTCATTTTTACTCGAGAGACATAATCTTGCAGACGCGACGTTCATGACGATCGCCAAGGAAATTCGTAGTAAGGAATGTCTTGACAATATCAATGGCTGTCTCTGGGCCAATGATACGAGCGCCCATTGCGACGATGTTTGCATTGTTGTGCTGGCGGCAAAGCTCAGCAGTAAGATGTTCATGGCAAAGTGCACATCTAATTCCTTTGCATTTGTTGGCAGCGATAGAAATGCCAATGCCTGTTCCGCAAATCAAAACACCAAACTGAGCATTTCCTGATTGGATCTCATGAGCTGCTTTTTGAGCATAATCTGGATAATCAACAGATTCTGTTGAATTTGTACCAACATCGATAACCTCATGTCCAAGAGACTTGATTGTATCGATAACTGTTTGCTTTAAAGCGAAGCCACCGTGATCACAGCCAACAACAACTTTCATTGTTTTTTTCAAAGTATTTTGTAAAGGATTTCCGATTTTTAATTTACATGGCAAAATTATTTTCTTTTAAAATTTTAATTACATGTTAGTGTATATTATTTTTCATTGAAAATTAAAATACGTTAATTTTTGAATGCCGTTTTGTACGTTATCAAGAGACGGTTTTGTCACTCTTCATCAATGCGTGAAGTTATTTCTATCCACGTTGGACAGGCCGGTGTTCAGATTGGTAACGGCTGCTGGGAACTCTACTGCCTTGAGCACGGTATCCAGCCAGATGGCCAACTCCCATCAGACAAGACAATCGGTGTTGAAGATGATGCTTTCAACACATTCTTCTCCGAGACAGGCGCCGGCAAGCACGTTCCACGTGCTGTTTTCGTCGATCTTGAACCAACAGTCGTCGACGAAGTCCGCACAGGCACATACCGCCAGCTTTTCCACCCAGAGCAGCTCATCTCCGGCAAGGAAGATGCCGCTAACAACTACGCGCGTGGCCACTACACAGTTGGTAAGGAAATCATCGATCTCACACTCGACCGCATCCGTAAGCTTGCTGATCAGTGCACAGGTCTTCAGGGCTTCCTTATCTTCCACTCCTTCGGTGGTGGCACAGGTGCTGGCTTCGGCTCCCTCCTTCTTGAGCGTCTTTCTGTCGACTACGGCAAGAAGTCCAAGCTCGAATTCACAGTCTACCCATCTCCACAGGTTTCCACAGCCATCGTTGAGCCATACAACTCCATTCTCGCTACACACTCCATGATCGATCACTCCGACTGCGCTTTCATGGTCGATAACGAAGCTCTCTACGATCTCTGCCGCCGTGCCCTCGATATCGAGCGCCCAACATACACCAACCTCAACCGTCTCATCGGCCAGGTTGTTTCCTCCCTCACAGCCTCCCTCAGATTCGATGGTGCCCTCAACGTCGACTTCACAGAGTTCCAGACAAACCTTGTCCCATACGCTCGTATCCACTTCCCAATCTGCTCCTATGCTCCAGTCATTTCTGCAGAGAAGGCCTACCACGAGCAGCTCTCTGTTGCCGAAATCACAAACTCACTCTTCGAGCCAGCCAACATGATGGTTAAGTGCGACCCACGTCACGGCAAGTACATGGCTTGCACACTCCTTTACCGTGGTGATGTCGTTCCAAAGGATGTCTCCGCTGCTGTCGCTACAATCAAGACAAAGCGCACAATCCAGTTCGTCGACTGGTGCCCAACAGGCTTCAAGATGGGTATCAACTACCAGCCACCAACAGTCGTTCCAGGTGGCGACCTCGCAAAGGTCCAGCGCGCTGTCTGCATGCTCGCTAACACAACAGCCATCGCCGAAGCTTGGTCTCGCCTCGACCACAAGTTCGACCTCATGTACGCTAAGCGTGCTTTCGTCCACTGGTACGTCGGTGAGGGTATGGAAGAAGCTGAATTCCCAGAAGCTCGTGAAGATCTTGCCCTCCTCGAGAAGGACTACGACGAAGTCGCTGCTGAGTCAGTCGAAGGTGGCGATGAAGAAGAAGATGGTGGCGAAATGTAAATTCGCTAATTCCTAAAACATTATTATTAATAATATATATATTTTCTCATGATCTTTGGTTTCGATTCATAATCTTAAAATTATTCAGATCCATTTTTATTCATAATTGATGAACGATACTAATTTTGTTAAGCATATTAATGATGCAATGGCCTGATTATCATTCCCTTAAAATGATGAAATTCAATCTTGAGAGTGGAGAAGAAGGTAAAGAGAAAAAAGTAAAAGAAATGTGAAAATTTGGTTCTGATCTAGCCTCCTTTCATAGTAAAACTCATGCAAATAAAATGATCATATATTCTCTATCTTGCCTGCAAATTGTATCACAATAGGGTTGTATATGACTTAGCTTATAATGGTATCAACAATTCTTATTTTGCCCCTTATGAGATAAATTTAACTGCCGGAAAATGGAAAATTGAGTGCTGGGGTGCTAGTGGTAATAGTCGAACAGATGTTAATTTCGGCCGTGGCAGCTATACTAGTGGCATTTTAACACTCGAAAGAAATTTAACTCTATATGTTCATGTTGGAGCAAAAGGTGGGAAACCACAGCCTCAAGCCGTTTACGGCGGTGGTGGTCCAGGGCAAATAGGAGGAGGCGGTGCCTCCGATGTGAGATTAAATCCTGGGCCATATTTTGATTTGGATGGATTGAAAAGCCGAATTATGGTGGCCGCTGGTGGTGGGGGATTTGATTATGATGGTAGTGGTACTCTGGCTGGTTCTGGTGGCGGTCTGAAAGGATTTGATGGCGATGGAAAAGGAGGAAACCAAACCTCCGGAGGTGATGGTTATTATAAAGGAATTTTTGGAATAGGCGGTGGAAATGGAGAGAGAGTGTACACTGACACCACACCTGATGGAAATGCAGGGGGTGGTGGGGGCTATTTTGGAGGAGGATCTGCAGTCCTTATTTGGATTGGCTCAGCAGGCGGCGGAAGTTCATACATAAGCGGTTATCCAGGATGTATTTCTGTTGATAAAGATTATTCGGAGAATAATCCTAAATTTTCAACTGCAGAAGATCCTTCGATCCATTATTCGGGAATAAAATTTGAGAATCCTGTGATCATTGATGGAAAAAGTCCTATGCCCATCCCTAATCTTAACAAATCAATTCCAGAGTTTGGTCATCTAGGAAATGGCCACGTAATCATTTCCACAGCTGAAAAATTTGGCTATCCATATTTCTCTCGAATTAATGCTATACCATACAAAGTTGTTTGTTCAATTCCATTGAAAGTTGGGCGCAGCTTTGATGATATATTCATATTATCTATTATGTACTTGTCTCTCGTATAAAAATCACTTAAATAATATTATTGTTCATGTCTTCAACACTCTCCCTGTATACATTGTATGAAAAAATAATCATCATCAAGTGATTACCAATAGAAGTAATTCCAATTGGTTATAAATGTCAATCTCAATACTGTAATTTAATTACATTAATGTTATTTCATGAAGTATTTAGACCATAGATGCAACAACATGCTTATTTTTTCATTTTTTGTTCTTATACACTTCTCATATCGATTATCCATGGATAAAAACGTTTTTTTTATATATAAAATAGTCGTTTATTTATGAAGGAAAAAAGGTTATTTTATATCAATGAATTTTTATTCGGGTTTTAATATAGAATGAACAATGAAATCCATATCATTAGTAGATAGCTCATTTCCGGGTGCTACAATAAATGTAAATGAAGGGAAATATCAATATACATTTGAATATCCTTGTGAATCAAATACTCAATGCACAGATTATGAAGTAACATTAGCACCTGGATTATATAGATTTGAAAATAATACATGCATTTCCAATTCAGTTGTTCGCAAATATAATGGAAATACAGTCTGTTATCAGATGTCGAGTATTGGAGGTGCCGGTGGATACATCTCAGGTATAATCCATATTCCCCATGAGACTGTCACTTTTTTGACCATAGGAGGTCAAGGTAGCTATGGATATACTCTTAATGAAACTGAAACCGATCGATGTTTCTCAAAAGAATACATGATTAAAGGAGGATATGGAGGCGGGGGGAGCTCTTCGAACTTCTGTAATATTGATTTAGCAGGCCCTGATGGCTGCGGAACTTCAAGTGGAGGGGGTCAAACCACTGTCAAATTCCATAAAAACGATTTGTGGCATCGTGTGATTGTAAGCGGTGGTGGAGGCGGTTCTGATAATCTAGAAGGGACTTTTGCAGGCGCCGAAGATGGATCTGGAGGTGCCGGAGGAAATTTGGTAGCCCAAAGTTGGTTTTCAGCTGGAAAATTGCAAAAAGAATACTTTACCAGTTCTTCAAGTGGCTTTACTTTTGGAACGGGAGAAGCAGCAAGAAATGGAACCACAGCAAATAATAGAGCTGTTCCTGTTGGCAAAAATGTTGACCATGCGGGTGCTGGTGGAGGGTGGTTCGGAGGTTTTGCCTCTCAAGACGGAGCCTCTGGTGCAGGAGGTGGAAGCTCGTGGGCTTTAACCTCTGATGCAATTATCCCTGATGGAAATATAGATGCCGCCGCCGAATTTTTTAAAAATATTAAATCTGAGCCTTATGCATTCAAAAAGTCATCTGGGTATTTGTTTACGGATGTTGTTAATGTTGCTGGAATATGGAATGGCAATGGTCGAATTGTTATTACTATTTTGAATTTTGTCTTGCCTCAATCATGTCCGAACAATATTCGATTTTTCCATAGTATGCTGGTATTTCTAATGTTTTGAACTAAAGTTTTCATATTTTGATAAGATAAAAGTATGGTAACAATTATTAGTGACTTTTATATTCGTATTTGATGCTTTTTGCCATGATTTCAACAAAGTATCAAATATCTGAGCTATTTGATATTTTATAAATGTAAAAAGGTAATCTAATCATGAAGGAGTTAAGTTGATGAAGAGTATAGCCTGTGTTAGTAATTATAGAAAAAAATTGAAAATATTGATCTGAATTATCGCAAATTGATGGGTTAAACTATATTTTTGATGAATATTAATTGAACACCACAAAAAGATATTGGTCGTTCTTGAAATTAAAGAAAATTATTTGGTAAATATAAAGGCATTCTAACAGAATTTTATTCAGCTGCATTTCCCATTAAAAGGATAGTTCTATTTCTTATGCTTGTTCTCACGAACAAACTCTCTAGAAATACGATCAGCTAATCTTGTTGGTTCTGGCTCTCTAAATCTGCAAAGCTTCTTTATAACGCTAACTACGCTATCTAGATCGCATAAATGACCGGAAGAAACATAGATCGGATTGAATGGATGTGAATCTGTTGTTCTCATCACAGCGCATTTAATGTATCTATCATTACTCGTAGTATAGTCCAATACATAGTAGTCACCCTTTTCAGGACATTTATCTTGGGCCATTTTTTGGACATCTTTTGGTTGCGGACAGCCTTCACCAACATAGAAGAAAGTCTTCGAAACTCCGCATGCTGGGATATTGGATTTCAGACCTACATAGGAGGCTAAGCCAAGGCCACGTGTGTGCCATTCGCCGTTGCCATCAACTATGATCAAGTCGATTTTGATGCCTGTATTTGCTTGGTTAAATTCATCAAGCATTTGTAAAACAACTGGGCCTTCTCTGAAGCAAAGTAAGCCTGGAATGTATGGTACATCGACATTGACGACTGTGCACTTGGAGTACACTGGAGTATCTATGTTTTCCATGTCAATAACAACGAGGCAACCGACCATTAAATCATCTTCAACTGTCAAATCGGCTCCTGCAACATATCTGACATTATCGAGATGTTTCGTGTTGTCTATCTGTACTACCATTTCTGTTTGTAGCTCTCTAAGCTTTGCCTTTGTTTCTTCAATATCCATTTTTATTACAAAATTTTTTCAACAATTCAATTTTAAATTCCAATAGAAAAAATTTTTACATTCAAATTTTGTTCCAATTTCTCCGGACTATCAAACTCATCTAACACCCAATTTTTATTGCAGCTGCCTTTATTTATGAGATTACTTGTCAATAAAACGAATTCGTGCCATGTTTGCTATTATTTACAGCTAAAAGTCAAAAAAATAATTTCGAAATATGAAAAATTAACAAATATTAGATATTATTTAAATGGTATTCATGTGGTTATTTCTAAAAATATAACAAATGGTTCAAAAACTTAGAATTAAATTTTTTATAAACATCATTTTCACTCTGCTTCTTGAGCAGGAGCGTTAAGATTGACGATTTTATCTTCATACTCTTCGAAGTTATCGTCGGTCAAGATAACGAGTTGACGTTTCGTAACAGGAACACGAGTAAACGGATTCTCTTTGTTAGACTTCAAAACGTTCAACCAAGTGTTGTAATCGAGGACATATCCATCAGGAGAGATAGCAGGAACTCTAATTGGCTCCTGCGTGATCTGATCGATGGCATCTTTAAGAGGATTTTGAGCAGCCCATGCTTCGTAACGAGAAAGGTGCTCATCGGAGGCTGATGTTGTCTCGTAAGTTGTAGATGTTGGTGTTGGTTGTACTGGATCGCTGCGGAAGATAAAATGAATGGAGCGAATCTTATTTGGAGGAATAATTTTTGGTGGCTTAGCGACATGCTGGCGCTGAACCTTTCCCTTTGTCTTGACGACAATCTTTCCATCGTGAATCCTTGATTTGTGGTGGATACGGCCGTCTTCACCCTTTTCGTAATTCGAATCAAAGATTTCGCCAGCTTCGACGAGTTTTCTGTAGAAATTTGCGCATTGATAGCCGACTCTGCCAGGAATTGTCTTAGAAAACAGACCCCAATCGCCAGACATAAATGTCTGGTTGCCTCTGAATTCGCGAACTCTGTTCATGAAGTTTGCCTTTTCAGCGGCAGTCCATCCACCGTTCTTTTGTTTCTCGCCCGGTGGAAGATGTCTGTAGTAATAGGCGTTAGGATATTCTTGTCCTCGTAAATAAGATGATCTTCTTGCATCACTCCAGTTTACCCAGTTAGTCGGATTAACTCCGGCTGGGCATGGTGGAATTACTCCATGTGGGACTGGATTTGACTTTGTATGTCTGTGAGTTGGAGCTCTTGATACTTCAACTTGAACTGGTTGTATATAATCGCCATCATCACCTTCATCTTCGCCTTCATCATCGTCGGCTTCTTCTGGAATTGTAGTTTCTGGCTGGGTTATTGGCTTGAGCTTGTGTTCTAATTTCTGTTTCAAGATTTTCCGAACACTTTCCTTGAATTCTGGCTTGAGGAGGTTCATAGTAAGCTCATCAATATCACCATTAGACTCATCGAAGGCTACAATCATCTCAGTTGGTAATGCGTCACTCCAGTATTGTCTAATGGTATCAATAAATTTATTAACTCTTTTGACCTTATGCTCCATCATAAATGTATTGTGCTTGTAAACGTAGTTGTCAATTTCACCGTCTTCAACCCTACTTGGGTGCTCAATAAGACATGAAACTTGACTCAAGGTTATATGATTGGCGTCGGGCTGGTCATCACTGCTTTGACTATTAATGACTTCATCCTCTATATGGATTCCGCCATCATTATGGAACAAGGCCATGGAATTATCGATCATTGCCTAATTGGGACCGTTTAATTTTCTATCGTTTCTCTCAAAACATAAATATTTTTGATAAATTCCCAGCCGCTTTTTTCAGTACCATTTCTGCCGAAAAACAATTAGGATTTAGGATTGCTAGGCCTCAGGAAACTAGTATATCTTCAAAATTTCGGATTTAAGAGCAATTATTGCTACTTTTGTATTTTATTTTCCACTTCCTTATGCAGAACTTGAGGTCCGAATAATGGACTGGTTTCTAGGGAGTGTACTTTTCAGCTAGAAGTAGTTTATTTGCCAAAAAAATCCAAGCAAAAAGACAAACTTTAAATAAAACTCTTTATGAGTTTTCTTATTTCGAGCGGATAGCGAAATTACAATCAGTACCATCAACTACACCTATCAGAAAGTCGATCAGTCATAATTTACGATAAAAAAAAACAAAAAAGTTTATAACTCATACGGTTTTCATATTAAATTCGAATTGCTCTTGATATTCTTCAATAGCATGTTAGGCCTATGAACAAGCATTCCAAAAACCAATTCGTTCGCGATTGAAAAAATCTCATACACAAGTTATAAAAATCTTATATGCGCTTTGTCGGCATAAAAACAGTATTGTAAGCATTCATTACATGAAGTAAATTCATCGCTCGCACTTACTTTTCATTATCTCCACTATTTTTATAACTCATACTGAAAATATTTTTATCATGCGATAACGAGATGTAATGCTTTCAATCATTAAATTTACTGTATGAATAATTCATTAACTACTTCGAGCGAGTAAAATCTCCTATTTTAATTTTTATTACTAATAATTTTTATTAATCCTTTGTTTTATTTGTGCATATGCAAATGATGAGATATCTGAACTATCTGAAGTGAGTTAATTCAATCTGATTTGCTCTAGGCATTATAATATATATAAACCAGATCGAAAACACTCAAATTGTAGCTTTTGGATGAGAATTTGTTGATAAATGTAAATTATGCGTGTAATAAAACTATATTGCTATGGTATTGATATAAAATATATTTCCTTTAGTCTACAACAAGAAAAAAGAAGTTGTAATAATAATTAAAAACGGGTCTTGTAAATTTATTTTGGGGTGGACTATAAATCATTGTTTTGATTTCTTTATATAGTCGACAAGCTATTTTTATGTATTGTTGCCATATAAAAATATATATAAAATACATAATTTAGAAATATTGAAAATTTTTTGAAACTGGAAATCAATATGGGGTTAATGAATTGGAATTTTTATGTGCATATATAAAGGTGCATTACTCAATCTTCTCATCTAAAGCTCAGGAAGCAATTTTATGATGCAAAATTTCAAATTTGACTGAAATTAGAGCTCATTTGTATGAACAAATTGATCTACTCTCTGGTACTATAGCAATGTTGGGTTATTTAATGTTGAGTCTGAATTTTATTTTATAAACGTACACTTTTTGATTTTGTTCTTTTTTGCAGCTTTTTCTTTCTCAGTTCTGGATTTACCTATAGTCCAAGAATGTAGTTACTATAATACATACAATTATAGTTGTGACGATGTCCCTAGTGGGCTTTCTTCACGAAATGGAATTTTATATTGTAACGAAACTGGGTATGCTATCAAAGTAAATGGAACAAATATAACATGCGTAAATGCTACAAATGAAACATTGATTTTAAATAACACATTTTTTGACATTGAAACAAGTTATACTTTAGGTTCAACAGACGTTAAGTTTTATGATATAGATACCGAAGTGACGACTAAATATAGTTCCAATTACTCAAGTTACTTAAACGACTCCATTAAAGTCTGCAGTAATGGCACAAATACATTCTTTTCTGCATGCCAATACTTAGCTTCGGCATGTGCCCTCACTCGATACAATGCTCAATCGGAAGCTTGCAGACTTTATGAATTTGTTTTACCTGAAGTCGGATATAACGTATATGAGTATGAATTTTGGCCCAGTCAAAGGCCTTTTCTAGAATATGATGCTACTCAACAGAGAGTTTTAGAAGAAATTACAAGAAAAACATCATTCAAACGCAAGTCAATTGTTAATATTGTGCTTGCCCGATACTCTCGCAATGGAGAGTTTTTAGGATACCAGGCATTAAGCAATCAATTAGATTTTTGCCAAAAATATCAAGAACAAAATCAAGTTTGGAGAATTTACGGCTCAATTGTAAATTATGACTGCCTGATCAACCTTCAAGAGTTTTTAAAATCCGGATCTACTGATTTGTTTGATCCATTTCTTGTAGAAACTATCAATAACACCGAAGTGATGCGTCCAATACCAATTGTTATTAGGAACTATAGGAATTCAAATAACCAAGCTGTTAATATGGATTCAAATCCAAAACAAAGACGAATGGTTAGAAGATTCTTTATTTTTGACAATTACACAACTGATGATTACATTCAGTACTTATCAAACTTATCACTCAATTTTCAAACAAAAACTCCGGATGGAATTCCATATTTCGAACTCACATATTCAACTGTTTCAAGAGATAAAGTAGAAAAAGCAGAAATCCCTATAATAAACGATGAAGAAAACGATGCCATTAAAACATATACTTATATGACAAACTATACAACAGATTTAGAAGATTTTTGGTTTGCTTGCCTTGTTGTTCTTCTTGTTTTAGTTTCAATTCTTTTTGCAATATTCCTATTTAGATGCTATTTAATGCATCAACGCTATAACCAAGATGATATACGTGGATTTTTCATCCTTGCATGCTTGAATGAACTTTTCTCAATTGCTGCATATCTTATTTTCCTGATCTTGTTTATTTTCACATTCTTTTTCTTTATTGCATTCAAATGGGCAAAGTCAGTTAAATTCACAATTCCAATCTCAGAGACGCAACAAACTCTAAATGTATTTGTTTATATTTGTACTGCTTGCTCATGTTTAGCAGTTGTTTTAAGAGTTATCTTGCAATTCGGAACAGATACATTTCTTATTGACTGGGAGAGAACTGGTCGCAAAAAGAAAGGAAATCCTTTGAGAAGTGTAATGCTTGCCCATGAATGGTTAAATCTATGCATTAGAAGAGACTATAATCCTGCTATATGCTTGACACTCCTTGTTTTTATTTTGAACGGAATCAAAGTTGAATTATGGGCCACACCAATTGCAACTGTTAGTCTAGTTGACACTGGATATACAAGTGATGTTCTCAGATTTTCAAACGATTGTTTCTTCTGGATTTTTATCCTGATTGTTAATATTATCTTCAACTTAATCAAAAATATTATATTCACATCTCCATTAAAGAAATTTGCTGATCTTTGTGGAACAATGAACATTTCGGTCATTTCTTTGATATCTAAATCTTGGGGATTTTATTTACATGGAAGACAGGCATTAATTCAAGAAGAAAATATGCTGATATCAACATCAGAAGAACAATCATTGGACGAGTTTGACCAAAATGAAAAAAGACCTTTAGAAGAAGTCGGTTCTATTACGATGAGCGCTGAAGATAGAGTGTTTGAATTATTCCTCTCTCATCCTTACAGAGAATATTTCTATACACCATATAAGCGAGTTCTTGATATTTATAGGGCAGCAAACATCAAAGAGCCGGCAACTCCAACTGCAATAACTCCAGAAAGCCGAATGGAGATTGATAACATGAACAAGCATTTAGCCAAATATTATGGCGCAGAGCTGGGAAAAAGACAGTATGATGTATTATATCAACCAGTTGCAAACAAAGTTTCAGGGTTGCCTCCATTGGTTGATAATAGATCAGTCTTTTATTCAGAAAGAGATCACTCCTTCAGAAAATCTCTCTTCACAAGCCATCAAGTAATGATGGCACTATTTGATATTATTATTTTCACTGTTGTTGACATAACTATTCACTCACCAGTAATTGGAGCTATATGCTCTTTCTGCTGTGATTATCTAATTGAAAAAACCTGGAAAGGAATTGCAATTCTTAATTTGCGTAAGAAAGCTTTATATGATAGAAGATTATATTGAACTGCATGTTTTGTATTTTGTTATAAATTTTACCAATTTTGTAACTGATTTTTTTTAATGAACTAGTCTCTCTACTTCCGAATGTACCTATTCTCCTATGGTAGACACCTTATTCATTTGCCTTAACGTGTTGCAAATATATAGATCTGATTTGATATCTTGTTGCCAACATCTAATTTTGGGGCAACATTAAACACTAAACTTAGATATGTAGGCTGGTCTATAAGTTGAAATTATCTGTTATCTAATATCGATGAAGATTTCATTCAATTTGTCGACTTTTTTTTTAGTTTTTTTTTTAGTTGGATTGGAAAAGCAAGTATCAAGGATACGACATTGGACAAGTATCTGGCAAGAATTGGGTCCGAGTATTCCATCATGATCCATCTACAGGTAAGTTATTCGATACAGATAAGGATAAATCTTTTTATCAAGTTTATTCCATTAATACAAACAAAATGTTCAGTGTGTTGGGTTTTATCAATGATCATTTTAAAGTAAATTATACATATAACTTTTTATTTCGATTTGAAAAAGAATATCCTTCTGAGTTCGATTTTATAAACCAAAGTACTCATCCTCTTTATTCTAACATATCTGCTAATGTAAGTGTTGAAGCTGTCTCTCCAGATTGTGGTACCAATCTTACACTAATTGGCGCTTTAAATGGAATAGCTTTATCTAGCAGCAACAAAACTCTTATTGATGGAAGTATTAATCATGGATATTGGTATTTTGCAATTGGCGCAAATACATATTATAAAGTCAGCGGAACTATTACTGGACCAATTTGCAAAGTTGATAAAGGTGTAACAAGTGTTGACCTATGGCTCCAATACACTGATGACATCATTTTCCAAATGCTTCCAAATTTAGAAATACCTTCAGTCCCAAAATGTAATAGCTATCATTTACTCTCTAATTTGCATGTATTTATTCTTATGCTTTTGGAATAAATATATAATTCTAGGATATTTATTTTAAATTTTTGATTTTGAACGAGATAACTCTATCAAAAATAATTTGTGTATCTTTGCATTGATAAATATTTATATAGAATGGCAAGAAAAATATGTTATAAGAATTCAAGATTAACAATATCTTGATATCTATTGGATATGGTACAAGCTGCCCGTATTTGAATAGTATTGACTGTTTGTAACTAGAAAATCATTTGAAATTAAAAAATAATTTGAAAATTCTTCATATTCTTAAATAAATCCGCCTGAATGATGAGAGTTAGTAACAAAATGGCTAGAAATGATAATGGACTTAAAATCTTTGTATCAAAATTATGAAGATTTTGGAGGCAAAAACAAATTGAAAGAGTTTGTCTGGATTTTAAGTATGAGTATTGAAATCACAGAGACAGATCTTAACCAGGCCTTTGAAGACCTCAAAGCCGGCGAATTCTCAGCAATTACTGTTGTAGTTGGTGCTTCTATTGAAGAAAAGCCAGAATTACTCGAAAAAGCTGCTGAAATTATCTCATCTTCAATTGATCCAACAAACTGGAGTAAATATGAAAAGGAATTTGAAGCATTAGTCCTTGCTGGTTTTGATAATAACAAAATTTTCAAACAATTCGATAAAATTTTTGCTCGCAAAGATATGGCCGCTTTTTCACAATACATTGCAGATCTTGTCGCTAGATATCTTTCAGTTCATTCAACCCGTGTTATTGATTTAGAATTATACATTAGTTCTCACGCTGCTCAAAATTCACCTGCATTCTACGATTATGTCATTCAAGCTCTCTACGCACAGCTTCAAATAGATATGCATACAGATAAATTCTCAGAAATTGAGGCTGCTTTCGTTCGTTTTGTTGATTTTGAGCCACAAGTCACTCTTTTCAAAGTTAACGAGCTTATGAAGCAATCATTCATTGAAATGACCAACGTACTTCGTGATGAGTCAGGAGAAAAGATGGGAAACAGTGCTTTCTTCAATAGAATCCATCTTTGGTCCAACTTCGCATTCAGATCAGAAAGTTTCACTCAGGCTTACGTTACAATCATTGTACATGCACTCCGTGCTAAGTCTTTGAAGCTAAATCCATTACGTATCAAATTAATCCAAATACTTGTTAATCATAATGAATTCCTTGCTCCTTTGACATCCTGTGCCAAGGTTCTCTTAAAATCTCGTTCACACAAGACAGGAGAAGCCGTAGAATTTGAATTTGATAATTTATATCTTTCCACAAAGGAAATTGGTCGCACACAGAAGTACCAAGACGAAGTTTATAACAGATCATTCGATTTGCTCAAGAAATGCTTGTTCGGTCTCCGTAATAGAATCGCATTTCCAGAAATCGCGGCTCCAATTGTCCGCTCGCTCGAAATGATGATTGCTGATGACACATATAAGCAGAATGTCAAGCAATTAACTAAATTCAAGGATGCAATTAAAGAAAATGCAACTTGGATTGAGTGCGCACGCGAAAAGGCTGTCCAGAAGGATGGTTTCAACATTATAGAGAATACAGAAATTGAAGGAACTGCTCCCTTCAAGATTAAATAAAGTTTTATTTATTATTTTATAAATTTCATAAAAATTTTCTTATAATCAGTCATACTAATATTAAAAACATGAGTATTTGGATTTAACAAAACAAAAAAACAATAATATATCTTTATTTTTCAGGATTTTCAGTTTGGTTCTTCTCCTTAAGTAATTTCGATAATCGTAGTTTCCTCTGATGAAGGACACGACAACTTTCTTGTAACATATTTATTTGCTTTTCTTTTTCGTTAATATCCGCATCAAATTTGATTTCGAAGTTTGTATTCATGAATGCATTTGCCCAGTCCCTTTCTGGATTGGAGCCAAAGTTCATAGATCTAATTGGGTCATTTGCCAAAAAAACTTCTAAAGGATCTTCAGATGGGATAGGATTTCTAAATGGGCTTTCATCACGTTGCATACGATGCATGTTAACTGCTGTGAGCTTAGCTCTTGTCTGATTAATTTGTTCTTTAATTTGATTGAGCGTAACAATATATTGTGTTTCTTTGACTTTCCATCTTTCCGCTAAGTACTTTCTTCTTTCGTGTAGTAATGAGTTTTTGAATTTAACTTTATTGAGTGGTTCGATATAACGATTCATAAGTATATCTAAATTGTTTAATTTACGACCAAAGTGGTCTCTAGCCTCTTCCCGTTTCTTATGGTGGCTTTCATTGAGTTTATTAATTTTGTCGATTAACTCTGCTTTTTGTACTTGTAATTGATCGCACATACTTTGTAATACTTTCCTTTTCCTGTCAATCTTAAGCAATTCTTCCTTTTTGTCATTGATATTTTGATCAAGAAGCTTCTCTTGCTTCTCTAAATTCTCAATTGTTTCTCCAGTAGTCATTGTGAAATTTTGTAAAGTGTCAAATTTTAGAGTCTAAAAAATTATGACTTCTACATTTGAGTTACAAATACCAAAGTCCAAAAAATGGGATGACCCAAATCCATCAGATGCAATGCCTCCATTTCAAAGCGAACATTATGATGCTTTTATCCCAAATACTTCAGGATTTAAAATGCAAAAGATTGTTAACTTAATAGAAAAAGATGGAAAGCTCTTTTTAGAAGTTGAAATTCCAAACGAACCAGAAACAAGAGAGGTGGATTTAAATATGATGAGAATAATGTATCCAGAATTAGTTGCCGAGTTTTTAGCAGAAAAGTACCTCGATTAAATTACATACTCTATCAAAGGGATTATGAACATTCACTCCTTTTTCATTGGTTCTAAGAAATTATTTAATATTAGAAATGTTAGGAAATATAATATGTCTAAATTGTTTAAAAATTAATGTATAGTCATTTTACTTCTTGTACTTTTACATACAACTTTTCACCCGCATTTTTGTAAAATAAATACTAAAATTAGTTAATTCAGAGCAAATATTTATGAGTTTATTGCAGAATTTCTCTAGGATGCTTCGAAAAATAGACAATTTACATATTCCTCTGTTTCAATCATAATACATTTCAAGAAAAAAGAGTTTCAACAGAACATATGGGTTACATCTGCTTAATTTAGCGATAAAAGTACTCATATTTCGATTGTTAAAAGTTAATTCATGGAAAGAAATCTTTATTTATAGAATCAAGAATACAAATAAGAAATAATCATTTAATTCTTTGAAGCGATATATGTTCTTGAAGATTATATTGGCATGATGGCGCCAAACAGTTATGAACTCTGATTTTTTAGCGAGAATTCCGTAACATCGATTAGAGATAAAAATTTCATAAGATATGTGTAGGGGCGATGATTCTGTTTAATGTTAAGTGATCACCTTCTTAGTTTGCATAAAATTTATCAATCTGGCGTTACTTTCTTACTTCCCAGCTTATTGTATGCAAAAGCAGGGCAACTAAATACATAAAATTACATTGAAGCAGAAAAGTACCTTTATGGGTGTTGTTGCCACACGATAATGTAATAGTTCACGTAATATTACTAAAATTGTTGCAATTGATAATATTAGTATATTTTTTGAAGGATCATTTGGCTGGTGAATAAGGATTTTGAGTTGTTGGGCTTTCTATGAGATGTGAAGAAATCTTCTCAAATCTCGCTTCCAATTTATCAGTTTCTGCTGCTTTTACACGTAATCTAGCAAGTTTTTCTTTAAGCTTCTGATTTTGGATTTGATAATCGTGAATTTTAGTTTGCAAATCGAGATCTTTTTGCTCTAAACGAATAATAGCACGTCTAATTCTATAGTAGTTTCCTGATGGAAGTCCTGCATTAATTAAATATGGATCGTCACTGTCACTTTCATAATCACTCATTTTTTATATTTGTCACTTTTTTGATATTCCAATGATGGATTTCCATGAAAAATAAGTGCTGATAACAATGCATCAAGTATAACATGGCAATACACAAGCATATCAACTTCATTATGTTGCGTTTATTCAAAAATATATCCAAAATCCAGGAATTTATCAATAATAATTGAAATTATAAATATTGATCATGTAGAAACCAAAAAATGCTTTGAATTAACGTAATATTATAAAGTGCAGCATGAATTAGTATGTTATATAATTTCAAAATAAAAATTTAGTATTTTATATATAAGAACAATGTAAATGATTGATTGTACTCTTATTTGAGATCAGCCAAGTCACCCTCATCATCTTCTTCTTTTTTGGCTTCGACTTCTGGTTTCTCTTCAAGATCGTGTAGTGTATCTTCGTCGTCTTCCTTGGAGTATTCTTTAATAACTTTATCAAATGAAACACGAGATCTGCAGTACATGCATTTGTATTCGACTTTATCTTTCTCTTCTGGAGAAACTGTGCCATTGACACTTCTGCAATATGGGCATATAATTGCGTATCTGTAATCTGGTCCGTTTCTAGCTAAAATTGATGAAAGACGAGCCCAGAATGATTGATTATTAATAACTCTTTCTTCACTGAAGTATTCGAGACGTAAAACTTGGTCAAAGTCAATTTCATAATATTCTCCACGTTGCTTTAATGCTTTCTTGATCTTCTGGAACCCTGGCTGAGATGTATATTCCTTGAAGCATTTTTCGAGTTCAAATCTTAATGCTAAGCTACGTTCTGCAGCTGAGTTAATCCAGTAACTTATAAAAGCGCGAATCAAATAGAATATTGAGATTACAATAAAGAAGAAAATGAATTCGTCTTGAATTAGTTGTATTGTTAAAAACTTGTATAAGTATGAAACTATTAAGAATATCAAAAATTGGATCGAGAAAAGGATGATAAAAAGCTTTAAAAAGAAAGTATGAGATGTGTGCCATTTCTCAAGCTTCCTTTTTGAAATCAAGATGCTCTTTAGCTCGTCTTGTTTAACTAAGAGCTTTGTCTCGAGCTTACGTGGCGATGAAAACAAAGCACCCATTTTTGTCAGTTTTTTATTTATCTTGAATCGTGAAAAAGTGAACAGTAGGTGCAAAATTCCAACAAATGACTACTTGGATATGAAATAACTCATTACATTGATTTTAAGTCATATCATAAAATTAAATAATTTTGTAAAAACTAAAAATTAATTCTCCATTTGGCAATTTTTGAGACTAACATGTAAGAAATTCTATTAAAAATCTAATTTTAATTTATTATGCTATTTTAAATTTGCGTTTTAAATCATATTTTTTTCCAAAAATTTTGCAAATTACCTCAGACTTTTCAGAGGATTGAGTTGCCACTCAATCCTCTGAAATAGTCTGTGGTAATTTTTAGTCTCTACACTATTTCAATATAAGCTCCATTTTTAAACAGTTTTTAAAAATCGAGCATTGAAAAGTGTGATGAGACTTTAGAATTTTTGTTTTTCGAGATAAATTTCAACATTTTTTGATTTTGAATTTTTGTTTTTGTATTTTTTTTGGAGATGCAGTAACAATGGGTGGGATGAATCATAGAAAAACGAACAAGAAAATTGAATATTTATTAATAATTTCTTCATAATAATCAATTATATTCTTTTTTTAACCGGAAATGGTCATTACTATGTATGTGGACAGTAAATAACCACGAATTTTGGTGCCGCAGTTAATCTCTTATTTTTTTTTGACATGTAAATTATCATTGATAATAATATTCATTGTTTACAATATCTTTCATTATATATTTAAATCTTTTCGATCAAATAACCGAAATCTGCACAGTCAATTTTCTTGGCAAATTGAAACCGCAAATTGGCAAGATGATGTTCGAATTCTACGTATTCCAAGCAGGTGGTCTCGTTCTTTGGCCTATTGACTGCGACCCAACCAAAAAAACAATCACTGTCGTTAACGAATATATTCAAAAGCAGCTTCTTGAAGGCAAATTGAACGAAGATGTATATGTCAAGGATAAAATGGCATGCCTTGTCACCCAAGACCCTGCATTCAACATTTTTGTTGCAGTGACACTCCATCAACAGGTTGCTCAGCAAATTAATTACTTATCCAAATTATTAGAAGACGTTTGTGCCAAGTTCACACATCAATATCAACAGATTCTCAAGCGTTCAGATGTTATGCTTACACCTAACCTCTTTGATCGCTTTACTGTCGATGATGTCGTTGACAAATACAGAGGTACAGTTGGCATTCAAATTAACCAGCCAAAAATCACCATCGCAGATCTCGATGATGACAGTTATGAAGAACCGAACAAGAAGGCCCAAAGATCTAAGTCTGAGCCTGGCCGCAAGAAATCTCCTTCGAAAGAGCGTATTCGCTACACATCAAAGTCCAAAGAAAACATCGAAGAGCAGTCAACAGTTGTTGGCCTCGAAGAAGTCGGCAAAGTCGAAAGAATCGAAGTTAAACAGTACAATATGGATGATTTCACCGGAGTCTTCCAAGCCAACCCCAATGCCAACAAGTCATTCTTCAGTGGCATCCTTTCAGGCATCGTTGGCGAGAAGAGCTTAGACATTAAGACTCTTGAACCATTCCTTAAAGAATTTGAGTCCCATCTTATCTCAAAGAACGTTGCATCAGCTATCGCTCATGAACTTACAACAGCCGTCGGTCAGAAACTCGATGGAACAAAGTGTGGAACGTTCCAATCAGTTAAAACCGTCGTCATGGCCACACTTCGTGAACAGATCGAACGTATTCTTACTCCTCATCGCAGTATCGATATTATTCGTGATATTCAGCTCGCTAGAAAGCAAGGAAAACCTTATGTCTTCTCATTTATCGGCGTTAACGGCGTCGGTAAGTCTACAACACTCGCTAAAGTCGCCTACCTCATGAAATCCCACGATTTCAAAGTTTTGATCGTCGGATGCGATACATTTAGATCCGGTGCTGTCAAACAGCTCGCAGAACACGCCGAGAGACTCGGAATCGAGCTCTTCCAGCGTGGCAATGATAGAAGAGACCCAGTTCCTGTCGCAAAAGACGCTATTCAATACGCTATAGATAAAAAGATCGATGTCGTACTTGTAGATACAGCAGGCCGTATGCAAAACTCTGAAGGCCTTATGAAGCAAATCGCTCGTCTTATCAACGAAGTTAAACCAGATTTGTCACTTTTCGTTGCAGAAGCCCTTGTCGGCGGCAACGGATCTGACCAAATCTCATCATTCGATATGAATCTCAAGAGATACGCTGGCGTAAAGGACGCAAAAGGTATTGATGGAATTGTTCTTACGAAATTCGATACAATTGATGATAAGGTAGGCGCTGCTTTAACCCTTGTTTATGAAACAGGCCATCCTATCATATATCTTGGCGTTGGCCAAACATACAGAGATCTCAGAAGAATGAATCCAGAATTCGTTGTCAATACTCTGCTTTCTGGCTTCTAGAGTAGAATAAATTAGCTTTTTATATATTTTTATTAAATCTAATCCATTTTTTAAATTTCATATTTACAAAAATTCGAAATTTTCATTCAAATACCCCAAATTATAATTCTCTACATTAACTCAAACACATTCTGAATAGAGTTTTCATTTAAATACTGAGAAATTCAATTTTTATTTTTTCATTTGAGCTTTCTTAACTCAAGTGTCATAAATTACAATTCTTTTTGTCAAAATAAACACTTTTTAAAGAGATTTAGTACCCAACTGTAGATATTGTTTTTTTCTTTTTTGATTTTTCAATTTCTGAATGCTATTGATCACAAAATCCTTTTCTAAATTCAATGGAGTTCAATATTTTAATGGATAAAAGCTGTAAATAAATAGTCGATAGAATTTCTCACAGTAGGTAATCAATAATTGTAAAGGTCAGGGATTTCTGTATTGTGATTTGGGAGATGTCATGGAGGAATCATAAGAAAAGTAAAAATTCGATACATTTTTTTTGATTTATTAACACTTTATAAACAATACTAAAGAAATATGAATAAATTAGAAGTCAAGAGATATGTAGTCCTTGGAATCCAAGAGTAAATCTGTAACATTACCGAAATTTGGCGTGCAATCGAGCAAATTAAGATCCTGGTTAATGTATGTATATGAATCATCAATTGGATCAATGAAGTTATCTTGGATAATTTGGCATGGCTCTTCTTTAATTGGAAATCCACTTTTCATCAATTCTGTTGCTTCCTTTGTCAAGTTACCATTCTTGTCAAGGGTATATATCACGGGCTCTTCCGAGTTGCTGAATGGGCTGAAAAATAAGATCCTTGGTTGTGCCTTGCTCCCTTTTTTCATGATCGTGAATGAAATGAAATGAATTTCTCTCAATTTTAGAATTCAAATAGTCGTAACTTACAAATCCAAGTCGTAAAGCAAAATTACACCGATATATAATTTTGCAATCATATGGGTAATTCATATTTAAAAGAAAAATCGCTCATCAGTTTGTGGAAATTTTTTTGTGAGGTTTCAAAGCTGATTTTTCACCGTAGTCATAAGACAAAAAAATTGTATGGGTCGCATGCCAAACATCAAATAAAGTCGTTTTAGTCTCAATGAGAAGTATCTCGTCTATATTCGCCGAAGAACAAAATCTTATTTAATGAATTTATCAGTATATTTATTATCAATCCCGTCTGCATTCAAAATTTAAGAGTAATTGTGATTTAAAACGGAATAATAAATAAATAACATTTCTTCTTCATCTTGGAGGTCGATTTTGCAATTCAAAATTTTGTGGTTTTGATATCGTATAACAGGACCTTCAATTTCATTCTGCAATTAAAAATAATCTGAAATTGGAGACACCTCTAAAAATCAACAAGCAATTTTGATAAATAGATATGCTTACGAGCAAGTTATATTTATTAAACATTCAAGAGAAAAATTAAATGATAGAAGATCTTCATAAACAAGTTTTTTCTTCTTTTTACTTCCAAACAAAATAAGGTCAAATGAAAATGGAAATTCTGCTTCACATTTTCCTAGCGAAAGTAAGGAAAGCGTAAGATTAAAAGATTCTGTTTTCTTTTTATTTGTATTAATTATGCCATCCCAGCTGCTACTTGCAGATAAAATATCTCCGGTACAGTTTATAACTGTTAAAGTAGCAGAATATGCACCAAAAGTGTGGCTTGCTTTATTTTCTAAGAAAATACACTCTAAAACAGTAACTTTTGATGAAGTAGAAGAGTGAAGAAGACCTCGATATGTGTTACCTAATGCACATGAGTTATTTCTGAATAAAGATCTTCTGACAAATGAATTAAGTGAATTCATATGTAGCATGCAAATATAATCTGATTCATGATTATCATTAGAAATGAAACAACAAAAGTTGATGTCAACTGGATTATATTCAAAATAGTAACCAGAACGGGCATAACATCTTGCTTTAGTGTTGTTTGTGGAAATAAGAGTTTTATTTCCAAATTGATGGTATATACTGGAAGTCCCAGTGTTGTCACGGCCGCATTGATAGAGGGAACTTAAATTTACGTAATTTTTATAATCATTCGTTTTGACATTTGTGTATGAATACTTTCCATCACCTGGTGTGTAGCATCCAATAGCACAAAATCTGTCTTGGACGATGGAACTCTTACCCGAGAAGTAGATGCAGCCACCTTGTCCAGAATTTTGGGTAATATTAGTGTATGTACATATCGAATGCAGTAATTTGATAGAATTGCTTGCACAATTAATGATATTCTCTGAAAAATCTTTGAAATTTGAAGATAATAAGAAAAAATTTTTCGAAATAGTAGGCTTTTCATTATTTGTATTTGTATAGTTTTCAGCTGGTAATCCATAATATTTTTCCCATATATCGTTTGGCACTCCAGCGTTATTTAAAGCTAGAGCTGAGGGAAGATTTTGGAGAAAATAAAATTGAAAGGGTGTTCTCAAATTTTGAATACAGTCTTAATAACACCATTATTAATATTAAACATGTAGAAAAAAATTTCAAAAGTGGAAAAAAATAACGTAAAATTCGTTGCAAATTTTTTTGTATAAAATTCGATATGACTGAGAAAGGCGATTTCCCTCCGCCTGAATCAGATGAGGAAAAGAGGGAAGTTCCATTATTCGATAAAGATTTTGAAAATCTTCTTAAATCGGATCCAGATGGATTAAATCGATTTAAACGTAAATCAGAAACTGAAGAAGAACCAGATGTCATCATTGGAACTCCACCAATCAACTTTTCTAACAAAAAGAAAGACTATTTTCCAAATGAACTTACATTAAACAGTCAAAAACCAATTGAAAAAAAGAGAATTTCATTTGCATCTCCTCCATTAGCAGAATCTCCTCCAATAGCTGAAAGAAATAAGCAACCGAGGCAAGTTCACTTCCTTGCACAGCCAATAGGACCAGGAAAAAAATCAGAGAATTAGATTTCGACAGAAATGGAATAGAAATACTCAAAAAGGAAGAATTGTTCGCAAGTATGAACGAACCGCACAATTCTCCAGAAAATGGAAATTTATCAAATAATGACGCTCATGCAGCCCAATTTTGGGAAGATTCAATGCACACGGCCAACTCTTCTTCAATACAATCAGACGATGCTTCAGAAGTTACTTCTGCAATATCTAAAAACCAAAATAATCATGTTTACTTTAATAATCAACCAACAGAAGAAGAGGAGGAAGAATTCGAAACACAAAGTTACGCGGCAGACGTCGGAATTCAATCACCACGTCGAAATCACGATGATTTGATAGGAGATTCAACTTATTTCACTGCAGACAACATTATTACTAATGCAGAGGAGCTATTCAGAGAAATGGACCGAATTTCGCAACTTGATCCTAAAGATCTTCCACAGGACGAAGAAGAAGAAATTCAACAAAATATCTCCACGAACACCGACCAATCAGACATCAGCCATAATGTTCATGTTATGCCTCCTATGAATCCAAGTCATTCGACACCAGGGAACTCAGAAAATTCAGGAAATCAAGATAATATTCCGATTCGCGTTTTCTCTGAAGAAGAGCAACCAAAGACTGAATCTGATCTTTATGAGTTTATTTTAGATAGAATGTCGAATTTAGTCAACGTTTCGAAGACACTTTTCCCAGATATCGATGACGAATATCTTCTGATCAAAAACCTCGCAGCAAAAGGATCTAGAGCATTCGAGATGTCCATTTTGGATGAAAAAATTAAACAATATAAATTATCGAATGCAACATTTAAGGAAGAGCTCTCAAATCAACCGAAACTTAACATGGAATCTGTTAAGCTTAAGAGAGAAATCCAAAATGCCAAGAAAATCATAGAAAGACTGAAAAAAGCTCCACCTCCACAAATTCCAACGACAAACTCCATGACTATACCAAACCATCCAGAGATTGGGCATCCGATATCTATGCAAGCTCATATTATGAAAGAAAAACGCTCTGTTGAGGAATTACAAAAACAAGTTACAGATCTCCAAGAAAATTTGGATAAACTCAACAAGAGAATTGCATTAATGTCTCAAACCAAGTCTTCCTACGTATATGATCCTTCTCTGCTCAGTCCAACAAAACCTCCACCAAAATTAAAACTTCCTCGCAAGAAAGTCAAAGTAAAGAAGGCAAAAACAATCGATGCAGCTGATAATGCATCTGAGACACAATCAAAGAAGAGAAAGAAGAAAAAATCAAAGCGTTCGAAGACAGTTGATCCAACAATTCAACATGAATCTAATACCGAAGCTTCTGATGCAATCAAGAGCGAAGCAAGCTCAATGAAATCACACAAAAAGAGAAAGGTTGTTAAGAAGGTTCAAAAAACAAAATAATTTTATTTTTAAATGTTATAAATTGTTTGTATTTGTTTGTATATAAATATAATTATCTTTTAAAATCTTCCATATTTATTCAATTAATTCACAATGATATGCCATAACAAACACTTATATGTTCTAAACAATATCTTATTAAAGATTTTTCAAAGGAATTTGATATCTTCTGCTCATTTAGTTGGTATTTCATTCAATCAAAACTGTCTAGACTTTTCAATGTTCCATGTATTTTGTAAAGTTATCATTCTCCATCAATAAACATTCAATGAGGGGAAAAATGATAATCCTATTTAGAGAAATTTTTTGTAAATAGCGAGAGGAAAAATGGAGAAATCTGTGAATAAAATAATTTTTATTCTAAAACACCCAAAACAGTGTTCACATATGTATTGATTATCTTCTTTGGACACATAAAACTTATAATAAAGAATATGCAGCAAATGAATAAAAGTATAAAAGAAATAACAACTATAAAAATCCATCCGCCTTTTTTAGCAGGACCGCGGACCTTACCATTTTTAGGGCTTGGTTCATAAGGGATAATCTTAATGCAAGAATCAGGGTGATGTGTAACACCATATGGAAATCTTGCTGTTGTAACAACAGGTATCGTATCATTGAAATAAAACAAATTTACATAACTTGAAATGTAGCCTGGATAGTCACTATTTTCTGTACAAAATATAGGAATACCGAACTTGAAGATGTCTCTTGAATTGTTGAATTCCTCAAAATCAACTGGTTCTTCCGGATATACAAAAATGAAAGGACTATAAGATTTCGCATATTTCGCGCTAAAATTACGAGCCATAATAAGAGGTGCATTCTTTAGATCCCATTTAACATGGAGTAAGAAATCATCAAAAGGAATTGATAAAGTATCAACTGATAAGTAAGTTCCAACATCTAAATGTATTGTCTTATTCAATATAACATTGTGGAGTTTAACAGTACCAATTATATCCAATTTATCGATGAACATGTCAGCCATAAATTTATTTTCTACCTTTCCATGACATTTATAGGCTTCATCTCCAAGAACAATCGTGATTTCATTATCAGGATATATGTCTATAGATGAGCAGAATTTTCTAGCTGAAGTGAGTTTTGAACCCCAGAAGTGCGGATGAAAATTGTATAAACAGTCATGATCATAAGTTTTTACAATATCTGCAGGGAAGAACGCTTTGAAATGAATATTACACTCAGCGGTTCCTTCCAAACTGAACTTGATATCTCCATAATTATTTGTTGTGAATTCAATTCTTTCATCAGGTTCAATTTTAACACGACAATCTCCATTAAAACCTCCAGATCTCGTGACAAGTGAAACATTTCTAACAATGATTAATGGTTTTTCATCAGTAACTAAAGGAATGTCAGGTGAAAATCCAGTGTCTGTCATATATAATGTCTTAGTATATACAACGAGAGTATCTATGATCTTCGAATTACGGTTAAACCCATATTTTGCGAATGTACCTTCATCTATATCTAATTTATTGAAGGTACATTGAGCAATATTTTCAGGAAGAGTAGAATTTGTAACATTCAAATAATTAACAAATGTTTTGCTTGATTGGACTTCAAGTTTCAAATTCCATATAGAGAGATTTGTAGCAACAGAGTAATCATTGATAATAAGCACACTATTATTACGACCTTCAAAGTACAAGCTTCCAAATGGATATTCAGGATCATAAACATCAACAACGAAAGGTTTTGATGTTTTGAGGAAAAATGAGAGTGAAATTGATGGATAGAGCTGCTTTGGGATATCTTTGATTAATTTACTTAAATATGTCTCTGTTGTTTTGTTGCAATTATCAATTCCACATTCATCAGTTCCGTCATCTGAAACACAGAATTTACTTGAGTTTAAGATATATTGCATTGTATAAACAATATTATCTTCTTCTTCAATTGTTTCTAGCTTGCATGGGAAAATGTTATGTTCGACATCAGGCGAAATTCTGACTTTTGAAGTTTTCGGAATTGTTAATAATCGAAAATCATCCATTAGGACAGACATATCCTCAGAATGGAATTTGAAACATGTATCAATATCATCAGTGACAGGGTTTGATACAATTATCTGAGGTACTGATTGCCTATCATCTATAAGAATACCTTCAGGTAAAAATCCAAGGTTTTCTATAAAAATTGTATCAAATGTGCCATCAATTTCCTTTATATAAACTTTTCCTCCAAAAATCGTGAAATTTGTGAAGTTCCAATCTACATAGAGATACCCTATCGTTAATTCTTCTGCATGGATTGTTATATTTGTTGTTTGATCATCGTTATATGGGTCTTCATCATCGTAATCAATTTCTCCATCATCTAAATCAATTTCTCCATCATCGAAATCAAATTCACTATCATCATCGATATACAAATTATCAATTACAAAATTTTTTGAAAAGGAAATTTCACTAATACATCCGGAAGGTATACTTTCAATATGTAGTTCATCAACATCTGTTTTAAGTGAAGAATTAGATACATTATCGGATAATTGATAAAATATGTCATTTGTATGGAAAAATATTTCAGAGTTAATCAAATCAAAGAAAAAACGAGGCTCACCGTTCCATTTTCCATCTAGAATTTGTAATTTAGCATTAACTAATTTCAATTCGACATGATAAAATGCAACAGCCTTATTTGAAAAGAAACAACCAATTGAAAATTCTCCATTTTCCATTTCAATATAATAATTGATGTCGTTCCTATCGATGCTTCTAAAATTCGTCTTTCTGAAGCCGTATTCTCTTGATTTAGGAATAATAATGATATCACTGCCATATTGATACAGAGAACTACCAGAACTGAAATTTCTGAATGTAATTTCTGATGTAAAAATGACACCGTCGTAATAGTAATTAGGATAAAATTTTTCTGTCTCACCACAATCATAGAAGAGCTTATCAAACTTAAATGATAGGTTTGCCACAGAATTGAGATCTGAATAAAGTTCTTTTCCGTAAAATAATGATGATTTGTGAAATCCATCAAATCTAGTATTAACAAGTCTAAGTTTTTCCATAAACATGCTTGTTGTATTATCTTTAACGGCAACAATGTTGTTTAACTCAATGTCATCAAATGTCGTAATATTATTTACGTTGAAAATGAAAGTTGATCGATTTAGGGGATTTGGTCCAACTATCCTTATATGTTTTGCATCTTTGACTGCATAAACATCAATTCCTATTGAATGATTCTCGACATCTAAACAATCAATGTAAATCGTAAGATAGTTAGTACCACTAAACTTATTAAAATCTTCTTCTACAGTCCAATTGTAAAATTTCTGATCAGCTTCCTTTTTCTTTGAAAGTTTGAATGTAGCATTAACATCGTTGGGACAAAAGCTTTGTGCAACGTTTTCGTATGTGACACATATTGAAAAATCCTGCAGCTCCTGTGAATGTGAAAATGCTAGAAGCTGCAAAAATAAGATATTCATGCTGAAATTGAAAAAAACGTTGGATTCAATATTTTAATAGAATTTTTTATTGAAAAAAAGTTTATAATTATAGTAAATAAAGTCAATTATGTTATTTGAATCCAACGATATCGAAGTGAACTCAATTTATTTTGTAAATGATGTAGCATCAAATTTTACATAGTGGTTTTCATAATGATAGCTGTGATTCTCAAAAAAGGCTATTAATCCGAAAATCATGGGTGAGATTTGAATGGTTTACATTTTGTATTTTTTCAATTTTAATAACTTAATGAGAGCAATAAGACTAATTTTTAAAAATGTAAATTGATGTCATCAGATTGTGAGCTTTACAAAATTTGCAAGGAAAATTTTGTTCTAATCACAATCTGTCACATGGATTTCATATAATAAACCAAATTGAAAACCGTTTCACCTTATTCAATTTTTTTCAAAATTCTATATTAATAATTGAAGGATTTTATATAATTTTTTGTATGTCAAACAAAGTTGATCACGAAATATTATAGGAATTTAATAAATTACAAATTTTGAAAAACTTTGAAAATTGAATTGATTCAATTTTTTTCTCATTAATACTATTGTTTAGGGTTGTTAAAAATATCAAAAATTAGCGTTTTGAAGACACCATGGTGTCTTATAATTTTCCCTTCCTTATTGGCGTGTAGAAATAAATGCGCCAATAGATTGAAGAAGAAGAATTGTTTTTCTCTTAATGAACTTTAATCCTTTTGATATAAGAATATTAAAAACATTAATATAATTTCGATTTCGGAAATTAAATTTCCAAATTTTTTGTCGATTTCAGAAATAACAGGATCCCGCATCCAACACGCAACAACAAAACACAAAACACACTTTTTGGTTCTTTCATCGTTTTAATCGTAATTTATGTAATACATGATTTGGATAAATTTTTACAAAAATAGAACTTATATTATATTCTTTTCAAAGATTCTTGCAAATCATCAAAAATAATTGTATTTTAAAAAACGATCAAATTATCCTTTCATTATTTTAAACTTAAATTAGTTTTTATGATTGACTAAAGCAATCATATTTATTCATCATTAAATAAACAAAAAAATAATATTTGAGAGTTATTTCAAAAAAAACACATTGAATTTATTAATTTGTCTCAATTTCAGTATTATAAATTTTTATAATTTCAATATTCTGAAATACACTTTTTAATATTTCAATATTTATGATATTTCAATGTATTAAGTGGTCTCAAATTGAGCTTCTCAAATATAAGTTGGCCTATTCAAATAATAAAATTAAATAATATTTAAAATAATAAATAAAAGTGATTGAGGTCATAGCAAAACGGCTGTTTCAGTCATTAATTCTTAAAAATAAAAAGGGTAAAAACTAAATAAAATGGGTAAAATTCAATAGTGTCTGTGCTATCGTTCAATTTGAAGGTGTCTTTTGAAACCACAAGACACATTAAATTTTTGAATAGTGTATTATGGTTTGACAGACACCAATGAAAAAAATAAAATGATATTTATTTTAACTATATAAGATCCTTATATAAAATATAAATATTTTATCGTTTTTTTTTCTTGTTTTAGAAATGTTTTTAATTGAAAAATCAATAAAACTAACTCCCAAATAAAATTTTTGATTTAAGGGTGCACACGAGAGGATCATGTAAACTTCAGAATTTAGAACCTTATTTTTAGGCATTATCTTGGCTACCTATTTAGGCTCGAAAAGCAAAAAATATCAAAAAATACAACTTGACTCCATTATGACCCTTTCATGGAGGTAGTTTTTATCCGCTAGTATTTTCCCTTTGAATCTCTTTACAATTCGAAATCAAATTCAAACCTCAGTAGAAGAAAGGAAGAATCGACTTACTACGGTTGTAATACGAATAAATACATATATTTAATTATTTTTATTTACATAATAATTGTTTGAAGCTCATATTCCAACAAATTTTTAAATAAAAACATTAAAATGTTGAAAATGTTCATATATTTTAATAGGGTTTTGGCACTTTATTGAGGAATTACTACATACATAGTCGAACTGAACTTGATATTTTGAAATTTAAATTATTTATCAAAATTAAAATTTAACTTGAAATTTATAATTATTTAGTCATATTTTGCATAATTCTAAGTAGATTTTGTAAAAAATCAAGAAAGAAAAATTTTAACGTGCTTTATTTTTTCTTTTTTATAATAATACATATTATTATATAATTAACATATTCTAAGGGTTTCGTTTTGCGAAAAAAACGTACAATACGCAATTTCGCTAAAAAAACATTTAGCTAGCAATTTCGACCTTTGACTCCACTCAAGACGTCACTTTTTTAATTTTGCGGTATCATATTTTTGGAAAATCTTTATGAATATTATATAAAAAGTCTCTTTAATATCTATATTTCATATTTTTATCGATTTTTAAAGTTTTTGCGAAAAGTATTCAATTATTTTTGCTATTTGGTCGGGTAAATGTCGGATTTGCGACATTTTCTGATATGATATTCAGATTCTACGTTGATAATAATGCTTATAGAACCCTCTTGCTATTGTGTCAAAATTACGAAACCGATAGCAAAAATATCTCGCAATATCAAAATTGAGATATTGAGTGAATTATGCATTATAGAGATTAAAAATCTGATTTGTGAAAACATCTCATCAGTTTCTAGCTAATTCAAAAATCTTTACTATCTTATTCGATTAAAATGAAAAGGGAATAGTTTCATTATGCTTTAAATGACAGCCTTATAATATAATCATAGTTTTCGCTCAATATGCAGCATTTTTTTTTTCGAAATCTATGGTCAATATCCTAAATACTGATTGCTTTGCATTCATATCTCTTACATTTTCTATACCCAGCTCACTATTCATTGCTATTCCTATCTTTTTCATTTTTGTTTGTTTCTCATAATTTCTCAAAAAAACATGATAACTTGATATTTGTAAATATCATACTTTATAACGTAAATAAGAACTTGAACCTATTAAGAAAAGCAGTAATGAAAAGAAAATCTGAAATTCATAAAAATTACAAGTTTCTGATGACAATTAGCTTAATTAAACCAGGTACAAGATTATATAATTGTATTTTCTATCCAATTATCCATATAATATCTTATCCAGAAAAAAGAACTTGATCAATACCAAATGATTTTTTAACTAGTAAATAAAAAAAAGGTAGTGGGGCTTCCAGGCGCGTTGCGCCCTCTAGCCCCGAAGATATTTAGTATAAATGAAGTTTTTATTCGGAGGGCTTCCAGGCGCGTTGCGCCCTCTAGCCCCGAAGAAATTTTGCCCAAGACCCAAGAGGAGGACCGAACCCCAGCCGACCAGCCGGTGACAAAACCAAAACCGTTGTTATTTAAATCATATTAATAGTGTCATATAAACATCTGTCAAAAACCACTTTTTAACTTCACTTAAAATGCCACGTAAGCTACGTAAGAATATACGTAAGAGGAAGGGAGCATTGAAACATCCAATAGTAAAACTGAACACACAACAACAGTTGCAACAACAAATGATGAATGACCCCACTATGTTGCAACAAATGTCAAGCAACCCTATGCTTTTAAACCGAGTTATTGGTGCACAGAGTGGAGGTTTAAGAGCGGCACTTTTAGCGAAAATGGCAGGCTATGGTGGAGCTGCAGACGGAACAGCTTATAACCCTCAAAGTCAAATGAATTTGAGTTCACTCAAAAATCAAATAACAGATGTCAAAAAGTCAAACATAGACATACAGAAAACAAATAAGTGAAAACGAAAAAGAAACTAGAATATGACAGACACACAAAGAAACTCAATGAGTTAAACGTAGAGAAAAAGAAGAAAGAAGAACAACTGAAAGAACTAAGTACAGAGGAATATGCGCAAAAAGTGTCAGAAAAAAGCAGCAGAAGTAGCAAAAATGGAACAGGATGTTATAAATTTGAAAAACCATACTACTCAATATAAAGTACTGAAAGATGAAGAGATAAAAACAAAAAGCCATGAAGACATATATGGATAGCGATGAGTATAAAAAAGAAGTTGAAGCAAATGTAAAGGCAGAAAAACTTTTACAGTTGCAAAACCAAACCGTACAGTATGAAAACTTAGCACAAGAAAGTAAAAATAACGACGCAGCCATGCAAAAGGCAATGAAAAGCGCAGATATTATAAAAGCTAATAATGACTGGTTAGATGCCCAAGCCAACGCCAAAGCAGCCCAACTTATAGGGTCAATAAGGACAAAAATACAAGCGGATGAAGACAGTTCAAATGAAGCTTTAATGAATGCTGACTTTAAGAATGCCTTCGAAGCTCTTCATAGTAAGGTGAAACTAGTGAACGACTTCTCATCTGGAAAGAAACTGAAGTCTGAAGGTTTCGACAAAGAGTTAAGAGAAGTAGCACAAAATATGACGAAAATAACAGATGCAGCAACGAGACAGGCAGTTCAAAGTGCCTATGACGCCGTTAGAGCAACTGTTGTGGAAAGTCAAGAAAAAGAGTTACAACAGACCAAAACAGACCTAGTAAATGCTTTCTTAAAAACGAAAAGTCAGGTAGGACATTATGCTGCAGATGGAACATATGTGCCAGCTGGTGGAACTTATATACCACCAAACCCTCCAAGAGAAGCACCTGCACCAGGACTACCTAAAACATTTACATCGTCACATGGACACAGACACAGGCATGCACCAAAACCAACACAACAACCAACAGTTCAAAATCCAGCACCACAACAACAACCAAAACCAACAGTTCAAAATCCAGCACAGCAACCAACAGTTCAAAACCCTGCACAGCAACCAACAGTTCAAAATCCAGCACCTGCACCACAACCAAAACCAGCACAACAACAACCACAACCAACACAACAACCAACAGTTCAAAACCCTGCACAACAACAACCACAAACAGAGCAAGGACATAAAAGAAGTAGAGAAAAAGGAAACCAAGAATTCTTAAAAATGCTTAAGGAAAATTATGGTTACCCAGATA